CATCTACAAAGATTTCTAGTTGTCCTATTCAAGTTCGTATGGTATTTGCCTAGCGTAGAACATATCTATAAATCTAATCGGGTAGTAAGGGGTAGCCTAACGGTACTGCTTTAGACTGCTAACCCTAAGTCTCGAGTTCGAATCTGGGTTCAAGTCAGTATAATGTACCTGAGCTTTGATGGGCACCTAACGTTATGGAAAGCCAAGGCGGCTGGGCATAGTTCTGACCACATTATCCTCCTGTATGCCGAGGTGTCTGAAACACATGAACTCTACTTCATCTACCCCATTCGTCTTGGGCACGAACAAGAAAAGATGATGAATACTGCTGTTATGTGGGATTACGGTATCTACATAGCTCTGTATGTCAATCTGTCTGCTGGAGCCTCTGTAAAAAAACGTATTAGCTACCAAAATTATTCTTTGAATAGTCGCGCATTGAGCCGCTTAATTAAGCCTCTCGTGTTTAAATCCACGACTTCCTTGGCCCCATATTCAGCTGTTTACTGGGGCCATTGGGCTCACAGCTACGGTAATATACGGTAGTGTGTGCGATGAAAGAAACAACAGTACACATTCTAATTGTTGGAAGACAAAACAGCTCAAATTGTCCAAATAAATGAGGCGATCCATTTCCTGTTGCTAGTGGCGTAGGTCGGGTGTCACCCGGTGTGTCACCCCCCCCCCCCCCCTGAGGCGTAGCGACCCTTCCCGGCGCTCGAGGACAAACTTTCAAACTTTCGATCGATTTGCACCCCCCCCCCCTCCACCCTTGTCGGGATTTGTCAAATTTGCTCTTAAAAGACTTTTTATCACTCGAATTAATCACTAAATTAAGTGAAATTATCATTTTTCTCTATATATTTTTCTATTTTTTTGCCTTGGTGTAACCCCCCTAAATGGTGTCACCCGGTGCGGTCCGCACCCCAGCCCTCCCCCTCGCTACACCACTGCCTGTTGTTATTCCCACAAAGCTTCACCACGTGACAGAAATGTTCTAAAGGGGAGATTCTGAATCATGCAGAGATGAGTAGTCGTATGTCCAGAGACATCTATTTTATATTATTAACAAAACCTATGTAAAAAGTTGAAAAACTACATTTCACGACGCATATCAAACACAAGTGTGTGTATATTAATAAATAAATATATATAGACTATATATATGTATAGGCTATATATATATATATATATATATATATATATATATATATATATATATATATATAGTTATATATAGTTATATGTATTAATTATATACCTATATATATATATATATATATATATATATATATATATATATATATATATATATATATATATATATGTATGTATATATATAGTTATATAAAGTTATATGTATTATATATATATATATATATATATATATATATATATATACACTAAATATATATAAACAGTAGTTTTGCAAAATGATTGGAGGAGGAGTGGCGATTAGTGCATTATTAAACGGGTTATTATAGGGATCAATTGGCCTAAAGGAAAACCCGAGTTGGCCTGTTATCAGGATAACTTCTCGAAGCTTCTATCGGAAATTCGCTAAGCTATTTTTATGCTTTTTAAACTTACGAGAACGTTTTTACATTGAAAACAATAGCCATAGACAGAAATGTATCGCTTTGGATTTAAAAATGAGATTTGTGTAGACTTAATCGTTGTTTTAATTAGCCTACTATAAATTTTATTTTAAAATAGCAATTTATAAAGGAAAATGAATTGATTTTTTTTTCAACCAGCTATCTATTTCTTAGTATTTAGAGATTTCCTAGAAGGTATTATCATCGTTAATTTATATATGTATGTGTGTGATATATGTTCAAGTCAATAAAACTAACATATATATAGATCTATATATATATATATATATATATATATATATATATATATATATATATAGTTGTAAAAGTGGTTTATCATTACGATATACATATTTAGGCGTATGGCTTATCACTCCCGTACATAGATTAGGTGTAAAGGTGGTTTGTGATTACGATATATATATATAGCCTTCTATATGTATAAAGGTGGTTTATCATAACGGAGTATAGAAATATGCGTAAAGGGTGTTAATCACTTTACAATATTGATCTAGATCTAAGTGTAAATGTGTTTTATCATTATTGTATTTGGGTTAAGGCTGAATCTTTAATGGGTGGTAGAGTGCACAGCAACGTTTTACAACACTGTTGTAAAAGTGTTGAATGTTTTTTATTGTTGTTTCTAAATATCAGCCAATAAGAAGTGGGCACCACAAGTAGACACCACAAGTTCACACTTTCTGTTTTACAACTAAATATACAACTAAATATTTATGTTTTACAATTGTTTCTTTTTGCCGAACTAAGTTTTATCTTGGTCAATGTGAAAATTGAGGCAGGGGAGGGGGGGGGGTCTAAATTTATTGTATATGTCAGGAGTGGTTTATCTAAATGCTATAGGGGTAAAAAGGGGTCTAAAGTATTTTAGGTAAGGGGTCGTCCTTAAATGACGTCACAAGCGTAGGGTGAGGGGGTCCGTAATTTTGCGATGGTGTGTGATAAGGGAAAGGGGAGGGGGGTCCAGATGGTGTTAAGTCACACTTTTACATTATTACACATTGCATTATTATGTCAGTTATGTGCGTATGATGTGTCTGCTGTGTCTAATGTGTCTGGTGTGTCTAGTTTGTCTGGTGTGTCTAGTTTATCTGATGTGTCTGGTGTGTTTGATGTGTCTGGTGTGTCTAATATGTCTAATGTGTCTGGTTTGTCTGGTGTGTCTAGTGTGTCTGGTGTGTCTAATGTGTCTGGTGTGTCTAGTGTGTCTGGTGTGTCTAGTATGTCTGGTGTGTCTGATGTGTCTGGTATGTCTAGTATGTCTGGTGTGTCTGATATGTCTAATATGTCTAATGTGTCTGGTGTGTCTAGTGTGTCTGATGTGTCTGGTGTGTCTGGTATGTCTGGTGTGTCTGATGTGTCTAGTGTGTCTGGTGTGTCTGATGTGTCTGGTATGTCTAGTATGTCTGGTGTGTCTGATGTGTCTAATATGTCTGGTGTGTCTAGTGTGTCTGGTGTGTCTGATGTGTCTAGTGTGTCTGGTGTGTCTGGTGTGTCTGATGTGTCTGGTGTGTCTGATGTGTCTGATGTGTCTAGTGTGTCTGGTGTGTCTGATGTGTCTAGTGTGTCTGGTATGTCTAGTATGTCTGGTGTGTCTGATGTGTCTAATATGTCTAATGTGTCTGGTGTGTCTAGTGTGTCTGGTGTGTCTGATGTGTCTGGTGTGTCTGGTATGTCTGGTGTGTCTGATGTGTCTAGTGTGTCTGGTGTGTCTAGTGTGTCTGATGTGTCTAGTGTGTCTGGTATGTCTAGTATGTCTGGTGTGTCTGATGTGTCTAGTATGTCTGGTGTGTCTGATGTGTCTAGTGTGTCTGGTGTGTCTAGTATGTCTGGTGTGTCTGATGTGTCTAATATGTCTAATGTGTCTGGTGTGTCTGGTGTGTCTGGTGTGTCTGATGTGTCTAGTGTGTCTGGTGTGTCTAGTATGTCTGGTGTGTCTGATGTGTCTGGTGTGTCATATGTGTCTAGTGTGTCTGGTGTGTTTAAGGCGTCTGGTGTGTCTCATGTTTCTGGTGTGTCTCATGTGTCTGGTGTGTCTAGTGTGTCTCTTGTGTCTCTTGTGTCTGGTGTGTCTGATGTGTCTAGTGTGTCTGGTGTGTCTGATGTGTCTAGTATGTCTGGTGTGTCTGATGTGTCTAGTGTGTCTAGTATGTCTGGTGTGTCTGATGTGTCTAATATGTCTAATGTGTCTGGTGTGTCTGGTGTGTCATATGTGTCTAGTGTGTCTGGTGTGTTTAAGGCGTCTGGTGTGTCTCATGTTTCTGGTGTGTCTCATGTGTCTGGTGTGTCTAGTGTGTCTGGTGTGTCTGATGTGTCTAGTGTGTCTGGTGTGTCTGATGTGTCTAGTATGTCTGGTGTGTCTGATGTGTCTGGTGTGTCTAGTGTGTCTCTTGTGTCTGGTGTGTCTAGTGTGTCTGGTGTGTCTAGTGTGTCTGTTGTGTCTAGTGTGTCATATGTGTCTAGTGTGTCTGGTGTGTTTAAGGCGTCTGGTGTGTCTCATGTTTCTGGTGTGTCTCATGTGTCTGGTGTGTCTCATGTGTCTGATGTGTCTAGTGTAACTAGTGTGTCTTGTGTGTCTTATGTGTCTGGTGCGTCTGGTATGTCATATGTGTCTAGTGTGTCTGATGTGTCTCATATGTCTAGTGTGTCTGGTGTGTCTAATATGTCTGGTGTGTCTGATGTGTCTTGTGTGTCTTATGTGTCTGGTGTGTGTGTTATGTCTAATGTATCTGGTGCGTCTGATGTGTATAGTGTGTCTGGTGTGTCTCATGTGTCTGGTGCGTCTTGTATGTCTGGTGTGTCTGATGTGTCTAGTGTGTCTCATGTGTCTGGTATGTCTAGTGTGTCGCATGTGTCTGGTGTGTCTAGTGTGTCTCATGTGTCTGGTGTGTCTAGTATGTCTCATGTGTCTGGTGTGTCTGGTGTGTCTAGTGTGTCTAGTGTGTCTAATGTGTCTGATGTGCTTTTAAAAAGGACAACGTTAAAATCTGAATTTTGGCCATTATTTTGCTTTTTGGAAACGTAATTTTTTTTTCTTTTGTAAATTGTAATAGAAGATCATTAATACACTCAATGTTGACCGGTCAGTCACATTTTTAGAAAGTAAGCAATGTGTTAAAAGAAATTAACCTGCAAATGTGAAGGAGGGATGTAAGCTGAGGTGATGTGACGTCATTTTAGGGGGGGGGTGGCTTTTCGTGACAATGTATGACGGTGGGGAGGGGTAGGTAAAAATCGTCCCAAAAAACCGTGACGTCATTTATGGATGACTCCCCTTTAAAAGTTTTACGAAGTGTTCTGTCCATTTAATTAAATAGTTGTATGTATCTCAATTCTTGTCTTTGATTATCTTTGCCTGACAATTTTCTTCCTATGTTTCCACAGGAAGAATTAATTTAAAATGGCTGCTTCAAAGCTGCCACCCATAGTGGCTACAAGTCGAAGTATCGCTTATACAGGATTTATTCGACCTAGTAATCGATTACGTTCTTTTACGCTCGTAAATGAATCGTATAGCGCTATAATACGCGCGTATATTAAAAAGCTTGCAGATCAAGGCTTTTATTACGACGGTAAGTAATTTAAGTTTAGATAATAGATCTATATTTAAATTACTAACTTGTAAGTAATTTTATCATTAGCTAGTGCTAATAATCTTTAAACGTGTAGGCCTACATCAGTGGCGTAGCCAGGATCGTCTCAAGGGGGGGGGGGGTTCCAATTTTTACCCCGGGACAAAATTTCGATTTGCACCCCCTCTCATACTTTATATATATATATACCGAGGGGTCTATGGGGGGGGGGGGGGTTTATGACCCACCTAACCCCCCCCCTGCCTACGCCACTGGCCTACATGATAGTACATATTTATTAACTGACACGGGGAAAAACAGTTAAACTACCTAGTAAAATATAGCCCTATGTTTTTCTAAAGCTTAGTTTTGTAGTGATGGAAATGTGAGCGAATATCAGTCCAGGTTACAAAAGCCTGAAAAAACCTCAATACTGGCTTGTGTCATGAGGTCTTGCGTTTAGGACTTAAGGTGGGGTTGTGATAGTCAGATGTGCATAGAGCAACATGAAGAAGGTAATTTATGATTTTCTTATGTAGGCATATATAATTCCTATATATATATATATATATATATATATATATATATATATATATATATATATATATATATATATATATATATATATATATATATATATATATATATATATATATATGTATGTATATATATACATATATACATATATATACACATATGTATATACATATACTTATATATAAGTATATAATGTATATGAATATATATAATGTATATATAGGGCCTATAACATATGTCTATACTTATTTATTTATATATATATATATATAGGTCTATATATACATATATATACATATGTTTATGTATATGTATATAATGTATATGTATTATATATTATGTATATATAGGGCCTATATGTCCATATTTATTTATATATATAGGTCTTTAAATATATTTATATATGTTTATGTGTGTGCATGCAGATAGACACACCAATATAGTCCTAGATGTAATTAATTTAAATGGGCCTATAGGCCTACACATAAATAGTAAACCTAACATTTTTTTCAGCTTTTCAGCCAGATAAGCTGTTTCTATTTTGCTGTGGTAAAAGCGTTAATGTGACAGATATAGAAAAGGTGCTATTGAAATTGGAATCACCCTTTTCGTATCTTCACCAAAAGCTACATACGTCTAATACCTGCTTGTGCTTTGTGTTGCAAGCAATTATGTTACAGCGTTTAGCTGATGAAGAAGAGGTAAGAATACTAAAGGCTATAAATATTTTTATGTGTTATCTTCATTAAATTTGTATTGAGTTGCTTGCTTTTGATTAATAGTTGCATGTAAAAATTGTAAGTTTCTGGAGTACATAATCTTTTTATTAAGGAAATTCTTTGAATAAAACAATGTTATGTTATTTAAAAAGTAAAGTAAAAGTTTCCCTTTCAAACCGGACGGTCTATGAGGCAAGTGAAGTAGAGTTCACTTGTTTCTGTGACCTCGGCCGCCTTTACCTTCCCTAACATGAGTTGGGTACCCATCAGAGTTGGGTGGACTCAGGGACGGTCTACTGACTTGACCCGGATTCGAAGTCGAGACTTACAGGTTAGCAGTCCAGCTCTCTTCCGCTAGACCACTCCGTCCCACTATGTTATTTACTGTTTTATTAGGAATTTTTTTTATATATTATGTATCACCCATTTTAAAGGACATATAAGGCATACTTGTTTATTTGTAATTTTAGGCTATTATATAAATGAATATTAGTATTTTAGACCTACTTTTAAATAAACTCTACATATTTCTCAGATATATTTATTAAAATTCTCAGATTGTTGATAACTGGGGTGCGTCATCCTATTTTACAGGTAAACTCAAGTTTAAGTTATTGCTTTATCATTATACAGTATAATTAGACTGTTTAATTAGTTCTGAAATTTTGAATCCTAACAATGAAACCCATCCAAATTTGATTATTGTGTGCACACATTTGATACACTTAAAGCTTTCTCTTAAGGGATGAGCCTTTCATTTATAATCTATGTAACTTTGCTAATCAGTAGTGAGTTAAATATGATAGGACCACAGTTAACACTATACACCAAAATTATACATTTCCTACCCCCTAATCAGCTGTTGTAGACAATGTACGCAATCCATATAATATTGAAATGTGTATAAAAACCTTATAGTTTAATAGCTTTTGTAAATGCTTTTCTAATGCTTGTTATTGTCTTGACCATCAGATTGCACTGAGTGTCCATACGTAAAATCGTCTTTCGAGTTTACGTGCTGCAATCAAATCAAGATGATCTGCGGCTACTGCTTTTGTAAAAAGTTAGAGCTGCAATTTGACATTGACGTACACAACGATGTACACTCTGCGACCAATACACTCCACTTCAGAGAAGAAAAGAATCCTGAGAGTACAGTCCCTTACATTACTTGCCCTTTCTGCAAGCAGGGTCTTAAATTTAGGCCCATATAAATGAACATTGTCAGTCATGTTTTAATGAGAATAAGGAGTAAAGAGTTTCTCAATCACTTACTAAAGTAGGGTGGGGCCCTGGGCTATAGATGACTGGATTAAAAATTATCCAGATTAAAATGCCCTGGATTATAAATAGTCCAGGGGTATAAATGCATGGGTTATAATATATGACCCAGCTAACAAATTGTGAATGATCCGGGTTATAAATTCCCGGGTTATGTATCAATTGTGTAATAAACTATAAATACCTGGCCAATGAAAAAGTTTCTCAAAATTAGCAAGGTGCTTTGTTTTATGCAACACTATCTTTTGCATTTGAGTGGCATTAAAAAATTAATAGAAAAACTAAATTGCCAACCAAAAGAAATTATTTGTAAAGATGTGTTCTGAGACTGTGAAATTTGTCCATGAACCATTTAAGTTTATAACCCAGGGCCCCAATGAAAATAAAAAACAAGGTAATATATTTATTTTCAAAAACTTGAAGAAACAACTATTGATGAAAATGTTTAGTCTCAATCTTTTTCTCATTTATTCTTAAAGAAATTCAATAAACAATTTTATATTTTATTGATAGAATATAAAATATGGCTGTTCAATTTTTTTAAAAACAAACAATTTGGTGAATTTAACAGAAACTAAAAAATTTAGATGATTTGAGAAACTCAGTTACCTTTAATAAAACTTTTTTTTTTTATTGTGAGCCTATGTTTTTGTCACAACAATGTCAAAGTTACTACTCTTGAAGACATGACATAGAGTTGATTTTGTTCAAACCTTGGGATGTGAAAATATTTTACTGTGAACACCTTGGGTAGCCTCCCTCACTGTGAATGCTAAAACTACAAAAAAAAAAAAAAAAGAAAATTTAACACAGGGAACAAAACAAAGAACAAATTTAATTTTGTTCAAAAGCCAAGTAAATGAAGACTTCAAGCTGAGAGGTCATGTTTACTTTCTTACTTACTGCCTTTCACCCCTGCTGGGGTAGGTACCCCCCAACCAGTAATCTCCAGAGTCCTCTGTCTTGCACCATTCTTTCAATTTGGTTCCACATGTAGCCCATCTTTGTGGTCTCAGCCTCAAGGTAAAGTCACCAGGTGTTTTTTGGACTGCCTCTTAAGCACTTTCCTTGGGGATTCACTACAGTGCCGCCCAGAAAGATGAAGCTTGTTAGCAGCATAGGTAGGAGAAAAAACTCCTAACTCATTAGCTACCTTGCTGATGTTCTCAGTTGAGCTATGGCTTCAGCCTGATTTTCTCTCTGAATATTTCCATAGCAAGCCTGAGCCAACTGGCCATGTCGCATAACATGATCACATAATATAGTTATGTTGGAGGAAAAAAAAAACCCCTCAGATACTGCAATTAAAAATGAAAAAAGAAAGACTTCAGTGCCTGCCTGGTGATACTGGTTGGCAGTTTACATAAAGTGCACCAACACTACATCCTCTTCTTGATCTTTTTGTCAGCAGAAAGTTGTCTGCTCCTTTAAGTTGCTGACGTTGGGGGGGGGGGGGGGGGGGGGTGCAGATTTTGAGAATTTTTATATGCAGAGCTTCTACCAAGCACCTTGCACCCCCCCCCCCCCCCCCTGAAGAAAGTCTACCGCCCCCCCCCCCCTGAACGAAATGGAGTTTATATAGAAAATATATACTTTTAAGTGTCTGCCTTTCCCCCCCCCCCCCCCCCCCCCCCCAAAAAAAAAAGTCGTCTGGAAGAAACACTGTTTATATGGCAGCTGAGAGGCTGAAGCTCCCTGTCAAAAGTTCCTTTAAAAAATCTCAGACACAGACACTCCCCCCCCCCCCCCCAAACACAATCCTTTCCCTACTAAAGAAATGTTCTCCATGACAAGCTATATAAATCTTTAAACCTTCTTTTACAGTTTTTTCTCCTAAACAAACTTTTAAAATAGTTTTCTGTGCCTCCTCTTTGTAATAAGAAAAGTTTCAAGCAAAGTTTTATGTTTCATCTTTGAGTTCCTACTTGCATACTGCAATAAAATAATTTTTGGCACTTAAAAGGGTAAAATTCACCTTGGAAAATTTGACTTTTTTATATTGTCCTTTAGACTTTTTACAATGACATCTTTTGATCTTTAGATGATAGGCTCTATTTTTAAATGAAATTTTTATTTCATGAAATGCTATGATGCATTATAATTAGAGTTGTTTTTTTAAAACAAATACATTGGTGTTATTTACTTAGTACACACTGTGTTAAATCCATGGGGCAGTTTTAAATACATCACAGTTTGGCTTGACAGCTCTTTAAAAAAGAAATGTATTTTGTAAATAGGGATCATACTACATTGCATGAGGTTAAGTTTTTTTTTTACGTTTTGTATTAAGATTTTGGAGGGAGGAAGTCCTAGAAACATTCAATATGAGAAGTGGTTGTCCCTGAAAATGTTAAAGCCTAAAATTTTATGGGATAGGGGTGGGTAAAAAAAATGTAGCTTTTTTTTCTGTAAGCCTTCGATGTGTATGGTCCCAGAATTTTGTATTGTACATATCATTTAGTATATAATGTATTCTTTTTATTAACTATTTAAAAGTACTTACATTTTTACATTATTTTTAATTTACTTTAGTTTTAGTATTGTTGCTTGTGATAAAAGCTGTTAAAAATTTACCATTTGTAAGAAAACTGAAAACTATTCTCAATTTGATGTTGAAATTATGTCAAGCAAGTTTTTTAAGAGTAGCAATGCATTTTGCGGCTGTATGAAATAGTAGCAATTCAACTGTATTTTAAAATGCTTGACAGTAATAATAAGTTTTAAAATTTTAATTTGGCTGTAAATAGTTTTTACCTTATTTAAGTGTCAGAATCCCTTACAATTAAGAACAAACACAAGATTTATTTAAAAAATAAGCAGCTGTGATTTTGGCATGCAATTTCTTTTTTACATTCCCAGCTGGCAAGTCTAAATAAAGACTGATAAACATTCAGTTGAATTCAGACAATATTAACCTCTATGGATTTTAAAAATTTAAATGAAAAAGAAAAAGAAAAAAATACATCACTATTTTTATATTAGAAGTATAAAAGTTCTACTATTCTACAGAATATTTGGGTACCCTGTATTCTTAATACAAACCTGAATATACAGATTTATTTTTCTTCATATTTACTTCTTAAACTTACATTCCACTTCCAGTAGTTTACCCACACAAAGTATTTTTTTAAAACTTTGTTTAATTTTTCACATTTTTTGTTATGGGACATTCCTTTTAAACCCCATTTATTATATTTTTGTTTTTCCAAGCCATAATCAAGTATTGAGAGAAGATTTTGTTACAGCCTCATATTCTGTCATTTGAATCATCTGCAGCTTTAAATGTTCTTTAAAATAAATTTTGTTAAATCAGTAATCTAGTTAACTTAGGAATAGTTTAAAAAATGCATAATAATAAAAAGCAAAAAGATTTTGAGAAGGCCATTATTATATACAATATTTTGATTTTATTTGAAAATGTAGGACATGCATTATCATAGGCATACATTTTTATTACTACACTGAAAATCTTAATGTTTCATAACAAATATCTTCAAAGGTCATGAACAAAACATTTACTGGATGTGTTCATTACATAATAGTTCTAAAGTGTAAATCATTGATAACAATTTTTATCCACTACAATAATCATAGCCTACTTTCGATGCAAAATTGTATGAATTTTAGCTTTTTCTGAGGCTATCTTAGAGTAATGGCAAAAATACCCAAAGGAAAATATTAGTTGTGGCTTTAGAAAAATAAAAAGAGAAAAAGTCATGAAATGAAAATGTGCATAGAACAAAATTTATTTTATTTACTATTGCAGAATTTGTCAATTTTTTCTTATTAATTCTAAAGACATTATAAACATCTTTCTACAATGGTATGGAATATCAAAAGTCTGTTAAAATTTAATTTGAGGACCTCTTGATTGCCTATTTATTTCTAAATGCTTTTTATCTATTGCATTAAAGTATCAATATCATTAAATGTTGTAAATGTGAGTTGAATTATTTTTTTATATAAAAAGATATTCCAACTAATAATTACTTTAAAGGGATTTACTAGTATCTTTTTTTATGCCATTTAATGATCTGGATAAAATATTAAATTTGAGAAATTGATCATTGATGTGTAAGCACATCTTATCTAAATAGAATAATGCTTGCAGCTCAATCTCTGTTTAAATCTGGGTAGATCCGGATAAACGGCCTCATTTCAGAAAGAAATTCTATGACAAAATAGCAGATCCCTTCTTAAATGTAAGATGAATTTAGGGGTATTTAAATAGAGGAAATTCAGACCCAGCCTCTTTAAATTCATTATGCTTAGTCATTGAATTCTAATAGTTTTAAAATATCTGTTTGGTTTGTTGTCAAAGTAAATTGGGAAAGAAAGCAATTTCACACTTTATTTTTAATATTGGTAACAACCTCAACAAATTGTAACCAATTGCAACATTTTTCTTTTGGTTTTTGTAGGAACAAATTGTAGACAAATAAACTGCATTGATAAACATATTGTAATGGAATTTCTATGTTGTAGAAATCAAAGTGTCAATATTTTTTAAATAAAAAACTTGTAAACTAAAACTTACCTTTATATTTCTAAGATTATAAAAGTTGTATAATATGCAATGTATCATAAAGATATACAAAGAGATGGATTAATCTTTAAAAAAGTCCTAGTGAGAAATGGCTAAAATAGATAACAGGATTAAAGGGATGTAACACAGCTGAGTACAGAAGGGGTAAGAAAGTGGTCTCTTAAGTGAAGTATTAACTTGCAGTTGACAAAGTTTCACAAAAGTTAACAGATGTGTTCAGTTGTGTATTAATTGTAGTTGACATTCTTTTTAATAGTACTTACATTATCTTATTAAAGGTATACTTAATTATGATACGAAAAAAATATCCTGTCATTCAAAATCTTTTGAAAACATTTTGATTAATTTTTACATATAAAAAAAAGAAAGAAAATATAACCAATCTAGTGGAAATGACAGAAACGACTTCAGCACACAGTAAATAATTAATTATTAATCACAGAGCGCTTTTGAAACAAGGTTTAAATTTTCATAAAGTAGAAAATTTTCCAAATGTAAAGGATTTTGTTTTTATTATTGGAACATTTGTCTTTAGTCACATTTGCTTTCCAGATAAATTACTTCATTAGTGTTTACAATTAAAAAGACAAAATCCAAGTTAAACATTTTTCATTTGTTTTTATTTCCCAACAAAAATACAAACTGAAATAAATTACACAATGGCCGATATTTATAAATGAAAGAAAAATGAAACCGTAACACAAGTATAGTAATTTCTTTGTACAGAAAAATATTAAATAAACAAAACTCCTTGTAAGCACAATACAAGATTGTTTATTTTTTTTTTAAATTCTGTTACTAATTTTTTTTAAAAGTGATGTAAAATCAAAGGATCAGGGTAAGAAATTTTGAGCAATTTCTTCCTTCTGAGCACAATAGTTTACTGTATGATACAAATGTATCAAGAAATATGGGAAAATATCTAGGGTATCAAAGGCATCTACTTTTTGAGGAATATCTTTTTTGTAACAGTTCACTTTAAATGAGCACATATGTATATAGAAATGATGATAGAAAAAATAGCAACTCTGCCCAAAAGATTATACAATATATTTTTTCGCCATAGTTGAGGAATAGAAAATTTGAAAATTCTGTACTTATAAAAATAACTACATTGACAATGTCAGAATAAAAGACTGGAATAGTGGCACATTCAGTTGATCAAGTTTCATTAAACTATTGAGTACACAGTTACTCTATGAAAGAATACACAGAAACAATTCTAACAGCCGCTTTAAAAGATCACAAATTAAAGTCTCAAAGTAATAATTAGCTTTAATTTCAATCTTTCTGTGAAATAACAGCGAAGACGTATTACATTTTGCCCAGTAAAAACAACACAAATGAAATAGAGAAACAGATTTAATGCAACATATTCTCTTTAGAATTATCACAAAGCTATCAGATATAATTTACAAAGTAATGAAATAACCATTTTTAAATTTAATACCTTTTTTATATAATCAAATAAAATCAGGCCTACATTTTTTTTAACTGGTGCATTGTAGTTGATTCTTTTTCTGATGCTGTGGTGCAAGGTGAAATAAAGGTTTTAATTGTCTCTAAAGATTGCATTTAAATTTTTAAAGCTTTTACTTAAACTAAAAGCAATGCATAAAAATCAGATTTTTATCAACCAAATTCCGAGATTTAAGTTGTAAAGGTTTGTGTTTGTATATGTTTAAAAAAAATACAAAACACAGAGCTAAAAATTCCAAAGCCATGATCAGAAAAATGTAATGTCAATACAATAAAATACTCAAATTCAAATTACTAAAAGCAGGTTTTTGTAAATTTTAACACATTTCTATTATGTATTATTCTAAAGGTCAAAAATATTATTCTCACTGATCGAAATAAAATTACTGTAAGTGTTTGGCAAGAGTAGGTTTGGATGAGTTCAATTAATGGTTCAGTTGTAATGTTTAATAAAATGTGTGAGCATTTGGCAAGAGTAAGTTTGGTTAACAGCCTGCTTTTTTTAAAGTAAAGTTTCCCTTTCAAACCTGACGGTCTATGAGGCAAGTGAAGTAGAGTTCACTTGTTTCTGTGACCTCTGCAAAAATTGAATGCTTTTTAGTTTTACTTCAAAAAAAAGAAAATCCAGGCCCAAAAATTTTAAATAGCCTTTGACAGTATATTCATAATTTCAAACTATAAGCATAAACCATTTTACCAAGATTGTACACATACCACATGATTACAAAGTGAAAGTATTTTTTTATTAGTCTAAAAATCTGTCTATGAAATTTTCATGGGGAAGTTTTCAAAATTTAAAAAAAATCTACGTTTAGAACTTTGATTTCTTTTTATTTACATTCAATTTCTTTTTTCATTTTTATTTGAAAAAAAAAAACATTTTTTTTTCAAAAGAAGTGTATGCTTTTGAGGCATGAGAGTAAAATAGCATTCATAGGTTACTTTGTGAGGAAATGCATGGGCATCATCTCAATGGTAAGCCAGTTGTCCCCCTTTAACTGATAGGCATTCAGAGCTGAGTGGACAAGTAGGCCTACATTTGCACTATAAGGATAAGCCAATCAAACAAATTTCATAAACTCAACAAATATGTAGGTTGTGCTTTTTAAGCTTCTTTTTAAAACTTAAACTACCAATTGTTCAAATGAGAGAACAAAATCTAATTCAAATTGTAATTATTTTTTTTTATAAAATATGAGATTTTAAAAACCAGTTAGAAATGTATTTTTGAGATATTGATGCCAGACCCACATCTAAAACCTGACCATGACTTAACACCAAGACAGCCGTGGTGACAATGAGCTAAACTTCAAGTCAATCTTTTCTGTGACAGAACATATTTGAGTAGGTCAACTGAGCTCAAACCCTGAACCAGATTCAATGGCGTACAATAGTTTTGTTTTCATGGTCAGCATGTCCTGGAAGGGTGGCAGCTTGAGTAGATTCATGCATGTGCTGGCAGTGGGCAGACGGTCAACATCAGCGCCCGCACTGTGGATACAGAATGCCGGGTACAAATCCTGTGGACAGATGGATAAAAACAATTACAGAATGCTGAGTAAAAATCCTGGGGACAGATGGATAAAAACAATTACAGAATGCTGGGTACAAATCCTGGGGACAGATGGATAAAAACAATTATAGTACACCAGGTACAAATCCTGGGGACGAAAACAATTACAGAACACCGGGTACAAATCCTGTGGACAGATGGATAAAAACAATTATAGTACACCAGGTACAAATCCTGGGGACAAAAACAATTACAGAACGCCGGGTACAAATCCTGTGGACAGATGGATAAAAACAATTATAGTACACCAGGTACAAATCCTGTGGACAGATGGATAAAAACAATTATAGTACACCAGGTACAAATCCTGTGGACAGATGGATAAAAACAATTACAGAATGCTGGGTACAAATCCTGGGGACAGATGGGTAAAAACAATTACAAAAAGCTAGGTACAAATCTTGGGGACAGATGGATAAAAAGAATTATTTTTAACACGTTTTTCTTAACTCAGCTTCGTGTTTGTGGATTTGTTTGTTTGTTGTTAAAATTGACATCGAAAATTAGCCCACTTCTGATTGCTCTAGAGATCTGAAATTTGGCATGCAGGCTACTTTCGCCTAACAATTTCAGATGCAATAATAAAAACTAGCAATTAGAGACCGTAATTAGCTTAATTTAATTACGCCCCAAGGACCATAAAATTGAGGACATGATTTCTAAAGATACCGACAAGACTGGAGGCCTATTGACACAGTTACTTCGGCCCCAAACGATGTGAGCGCGCTGGCCGTGATCGTATAGTGGTTAGTACTTTGCCTTGTGGCCGCGACAACCCAGGTTCGAATCCTGGTCGCTCAAGATTTTTAGTTCGTGTATTTATAAACACTTAGTCATACTTAATCAAGTCATTAGATAAAGTAGAAAATAAACTATATAAAAAACTTTTTTAAAAAACACGTTTTTCATGTGTAGCAACGGACTAAAAAGGAGAAAATAAAATACTTAAAAAAAACTTTTTAAAAAAAACACGTTTTTCTTGTGGACTAAAAAGTAGAAAATAAATTTTTCTTTTGTGCTTCCTCGAGCTGTGCAGGTTCTTGTGATGACTGACAAAAAACGTGGGTCAGGCAGATGGGTCGGGAAATTTGATGGTGAACGTACCCACGTTTTTTGTCAGTCATCACAAGAACCTGCACAGCTCGAGGAAGCACAAAAGAAAAATTTATTTTCTACTTTTTAGTCCACAAGAAAAACGTGGTTTTTTAAAAAGTTTTTTTTAAGTATTTTATTTTCATTTTATGGATCAATAGCAAATCTTATTCAAACACAATATTAATTTAACACACTTAGCGTTATTTCTTCTGTCTTTAAGTAGAGCAACTTTAATAAGTTACTTTTTATTGCTTGACAACAGGCCCATAAACAAGATCTTACCCTAAATCCCAGCAACGGAGGTCTTGAACAACTTGTGACAAACTTGAGAAGCTGTTGTTTTTGTTTGTCTGTGAAATCATCAACCACAGCCCAAAACAGGGTTATCACAGGATGATGGTCATGGTAATCACCTGGAAGAGAAGACCAAAGATAAGATTAGCTACAGAAGTCATGACAAACTCTCAGCTACCCACTGAACACAAATATGTTTTTTAAAACTGGGTGAATCCATCCAAAGCAGTGACACAAAATTGAAAAATGCAAATTTCACACAAAAAACATAAAAAAGCCTACTATGGGTTTTATCTTACCAGAATACTTTGTGTAAAAGTGTGTGTGTAAGAGTGTGTTTTATCTTACCAGAATACTTTGTGTAAAAGCGTGTTTTATCTTACCAGAATACTTTGTGTAAAAGCGTGTTTTATCTTACCAGAATACTTTGTGTAAAAGCGTGTTTTATCTTACCAGAATACTTTGTGTAAAAGCGTGTTTTATCTTACCAGAATACTTTGTGTAAAAGCGTGTTTTATCTTACCAGAATACTTTGTGTAAAAGCGTGTTTTATCTCACCAGAATACTTTGTGTAAAAGCGTGTTTTATCTTACCAGAATACTTTGTGTAAAAGCGTGTTTTATCTTACCAGAATACTTTGTGTAAAAGTGTTTTATCTTACCAGAATACTTTGTGTAAAAGTGTTTTATCTTACCAGAATACTTTGTGTAAAAGCGTGTTTTATCTTACCAGAATACTTTGTGTAAAAGCGTGTTACTTACCAGAATACTTTGTGTAAAAGTGTGTTTTTATCTTACCAGAATACTTTGTGTAAAAGCGTGTTTTATCTTACCAGAACACTTTGTATAAAAGTGTTTTATCTTACCAGAATACTTTGTGTAAAAGCGTGTTTTATCTTACCAGAATACTTTGTGTAAAAGTGTCTTATCTTACCAGAATACTTTGTGTAAAAGTGTGTTTTATCTTACCAGAATACTTTGTGTAAAAGCGTGTTTTATCTTACCAGAATACTTTGTGTAAAAGTGTTTTATCTTACCAGAATACTTTGTGTAAAAGTGTTTTATCTTACCAGAATACTTTGTGTAAAAGCGTGTTTTATCTTACCAGAATACTTTGTGTAAAAGTGTTTTATCTTACCAGAATACTTTGTGTAAAAGTGTTTTATCTTACCAGAATACTTTGTGTAAAAGCGTGTTTTATCTTACCAGAATACTTTGTGTAAAAGCGTAAATCAAGAAGATCAATAGGAACGGCTGCACCAGAGATGAGAACTTGCAGCTCCCCACTGTTGAACATCTGCAGCCATTCAAGCTGGATCACATCGTTGATACCTTGTCTGAACGCATTGCAGTGTGGTCGAATCTAGGGTTGCAAATAAACTCTATTAGGCAAAGCTACTGTTGCGACTACTGTCAAACAGGACATTTCAAATACAAAAAAACATGTAGATGAGCCCATGTAATCTAGTACCATATTTTCAACATACTGTCTATTTATTGCACATATTTAATCAGTGTAGCTTAGCAGATGCCTTAGGCAGCTTTTGAAATTTAGGTGGCAGGACAAAGTGCCGAACATAGAATTATGGAGAAAAGCAAGGCAGGAGCCTATGACAGTGCAAATAAGAAGGAGAAAGTGGCGCTGGGTGGAACACACACTGTGAAAGGCTCACCCAAATGTGACATGGGCGCCCAAGACAAACCTGGTGGAGTAGTCTTCTAGAAGAACTGAAGCCAACAGGAATGTCCTGGGAGACGCAAAATTAATAGCCAGGGATCGGATGAAATGGAAGGAAATGGTGAAGACCCTATGTTCCATAAGGAGCAGAGAGGACTAAGTCAAGTCAAGTAGCTTGCAAACAGTCTACCCCACATCTGACTGACATCTGAGAGCAGTGTTCACACATAATGTGACCCATCTCTACCAGTGTATGACTTTAGCCTTAAACCAACAAGAAAAACTAACCTGTTTATTGATCCTGTAATCAGCCATCAGGTGGATGTATTTTATTTTATTCGCATCAGTCACCTGGATGTTTCTGCCTCCAGGCTTCAATTCTTCAATCTGCAGCAAATTATTTGATTTTCAGATCATTTTTTTCTTCTATTATTTTTAAACTTACATTCAATTATGTTGAAGTCTCAAAAAGTAAACAAACTAAAAATGTATAAACTAGTCCCTACCTTAGTTTCCCCAAATTCACTGTTAACTACAGTGAAATCCAGACCTAAATCTGCCACATCACCTTCATAGTGCTTCAGAAATAACAGATTTCTGTGAATATATACAATTAAGTGACCATTACATTTGTTTTCCAGTTGTTTATACAAGTATTTATAATGTAATGGATAACACCACACGTTATAAACAAACAGCAAGGGGGAGCTTACTTGTACATGACAGGGTCCATTGACTGCAGGTGGTGAATGTCTAAGTTGGCATTTCCAGGGCTTAAGATCTTGGACAGGAAGAAAGAGGCAAATGGGAGCTCAACAAGTAAGTTCTCCATCAATGCCTGCGGACAAAAACAGAAATATTTGTAACAGAAGATAGAATTAATTTTGCAATTAATTACAGTAAAAAAAAAGTTTTTAAAAATGTGGATTAAAATAATAAATTTTATAACTTGCGTATTTACCTTTCCTAACATACGCCCCAAGAAAAAGTAGTGAGCTGTGAAGTTTTCCACAAGCAAACCAGCCTCTGGATTTGGGTACAAGGCCCTGTCCTCTGTGTACTTAAAAAATCCTCGGTTTGGATCAAATCCTGTCTTCAAGAGCTCAGATAGAAACTCTCTAAAAATGCCTCCACCATCTATACCAGCCTCATCAAGACCTGCATAGTTTAGGAGACTGACTCGCATTCTCTTCTTTAAATTCTGTTCTGTAATTTTGGTAAAAAATATATATATAATTAGTATTTTATCTATAAAAAAGTAAGCACAGATGTATACACTCAATAATTAAAAGAAACTATAGGTTTTTTTTAAAGAAAATTAGCTATATCAAGAAAAAAATAATGAATTATTTTGAGCTTTTTTATTGATGGAATAAGGAATTATAAACTTGGTACCTACCATTTTCTGGTGACAATTTTTCAAAAGCGTCTTCATAAATAAAGTTTCTCCTGATGGTGACGACAATAGACGAGCCCAGGCCAAAGTTTGTTAGCTCACCCTGGTGCTCTTGTTTATCAACAATTATCAAATTTTGTAGAATCTGGCAGAATATATTAAAAAATCTAGACTTAATCACTGCATTGTTTTAGTCTATAAAAATGTTTATCTAAACAATAACTTTCAGAATTAAGTGATAACTTAGAGTAAGGAGAAGATGTCAATGTTTTGTGAAAAAATTAAACTATTCTACTTTAGCTTTGTTTATTGTATGAATATTATACTTAAATAAATATTTAGATTCTCTAGTACTATGTTAAAGGACCTATATGGACAATAGAATTAATAAATTTGTTTGATGACTTGAAAACTAGGTCTTTATAAATTATAATTATAAAATTGGAATAAATATTTAGGATTTAATAACCAAAGGAGAATCTTATTAACCTTGAAACTGATTACTTACCTTAACCCTATCTAGAAAAGCTACCACAAAAGGTAACTCTGTTAATATCACAAGGTTTCTTACATCACGATTAGCAAGTGGCGGTGCATCAGTGTCTGAATAATCCACACAAAAAAAAGTATTTAATTAATAAGTATTTTTTTATGTAGATTCTAATACATTTATTACTTTAAAAAGCTTCACACTGCATTAGCATTCTATTATATTTTGAACACTTACCTGTGTTAGCTTTGGTTAACAAGCTAAGTGTTCCAAAGTCCCGTCGTACAAAAATTGCATTCTGGACTGAGTATATCTGAGAGGGCTGTAATTAAAAGTACATTAGTCTGTTAATAAATCAATATTAGCGGGTAGGTATTTTAATGTAATACATTAACACTGTTTAACTACTAATATTACATAACAGAAAGATTTGCCGTTCCCTTGTTAAAATAAATAAATTATATTTAGAGAGAGGGATAAACCCAAGAGCATTTTAGGAGTAATATAATAATAGAAATTAAACATGTTTACCCGATCTGTGCGTATATTAATATTTGGAGCCAGCCAATGTCCCATGGGACAAAAAGGACGGCGACTGTCTCTGTTATGAAGCTGCCTTACTAAAGTAGAGATAACCTGCAAGGGATAAATTAATTCATCAGCTACCAACAGATTTATTTGATAGAAAAACAAACTAGGTTAATGATTTATCAGCTAAATTACTGTTTTATACAAACGATGAAAATTTTGTCACATATTTTAACTCACCTTAAATAAAAATGCCCATTGCTTAGTTGATTCAGAATTATAATCATCATTATTTGAATTTAAGAAAGCTCCAGTCTTTCTAAGGGCCTGATTATAGCATGAAAAGAAAGTTTTGGGCTTTAAATGTTTATCTCAAAAAGTGTCAATAATCTTTTCATTAAACCAATAGGATATTACAATAAAATTATAGTTAAACAACATTTAAAAGACATGCTATGCTTTACCTGCTTGTAATCATTGCTGATGGTGACTCTTGAATCTGGATGTGCCAATTCAATAATTCCTAAACAAGTGTCTCGTAAATATTGGCACATCACAACAACCTCATCTAGACTAAAGGGCATACTTGAAGATGCAACTACAGGGAAAAGTGAGGAATTCATTTATTTTTTCTGATGTGCCAAGCATGTTCAAAGTGAGCATTGAATTTCTAGTTAAACTGAAAGACTTTAATTTAAGGGTTATAAAAATGATGTAGTCTAAAAGTCTTAATAAAGTAAGACTCTGAATTTTTTAACATCCCTATTCAAAATTAATATCAAATAATTAGAACTATTTTCAACCACAATACTACAACTACCTTGAACATCTTTGCACTAAATGTATAGCAAATAATTAGAAGTATATTTATATTAAAATTACCTTCAGCATCCCTGTAGAAATCCCCATCATGTAGAGTGAGCAATGAGTGGTTAAACAAACAACAGAATGTGGTCAACAAAGGGACTATCCTGGCCATGTTCGCTCTTGAGATAGGTACACCTTTTGATAACATGTTCAACAATGAGGTACTGGATCTGAAAATAATTTTGCGTTTTAAATTACTTAAATTATTATTACGTTCAATTCATTTTTAAACTACAACACAGTAATTCTAAGTATAAGATAAATTTTCCAATCCACAAAAACGTGAATTCAACAGGTTCTTTTTTCCAAATTAATTTATAAAGTAATAGTTTTTAGATTTATTTCCAATTATAGGATAATTGATTCTCTATTTAATAACTTGAGCTAAATGAATGGGTTGTGAGGCGCTGTATTTATAATATTACGTCTAATTTTAAGGGAAAAAAATTATTAGAACATTTATTTATTTAGAATTTATTTTATAAATAATAAATTAATGTCTAGTTAGAAAATTTGATATTCTAGTGTTGTCATTGGAAATGAATTAATATAAATAGGATGATAAACCTAACCAAAGACAGACATTGTAACTAAATCAATCACCCTAAATACTCAGAGGTACAAAATAACTCAAACTGCATGGGAAGGTAACAAAATGTACATGATGTGTTTTACCTGGTAACTGTAGGAATAGACACAGTGTAACAAGCCTCCCAAAGGCTTCTCATAAACTGTGGGTTAAATGCCAAGACATACAGCAGTCTGGATGAAGTAAAAAAATAGTCATCTTTACTTTTACTGGTCAATATTCAGGTAAAATGAAAACAGTATTGTTCAATACTTTACACTGCATTATATTACAACTAAAAACTATTCAATTGAGAAGTAGCTGACCACCTAATAAAATGTTATTTTGATTCATGCCTGAAAAATTTGGGACAGCTTGGAACTTTGTGACAAGGTATGAAGAAAGTAGGGAAGTGGATCTGCTTAAAAAGTATTAAATAACTGTGAGATTCAGATAGTCTGCAAGTGGCTATTTGCAGAACTTAAGCCACAATCAGCTCCACCTAGAAAAGTTGGTGAAGGATGGTTTGAGTTATGGAGATACAAGCTGGAAGTGTCGCCAAAAATTTGTTTTTTAAAGTAAAATAATCTCTATTAAAGCTTTACTTTTTTTCAACAGTCAATTTCCATTGCGCAGAGAAAAAGCTGGATAGCTACATCTATCTAATTAATTAATTCACAATTATAGTTAATTTTAAGCATTAAGAGTAACATAAGTGGTCTCTTACCTGACTTTATGTAGTGACATTTTCTGATAAGCCAGAAGACAATAAGCTATGGAGGCAAGAGACTCTATGTACTCAGATGCTGGGAGATTCATTAAAACATTGAAAATACATTTGAGATGAGCCTCGGAGTCAATCAAACGTAAGCATTCAGAGCGCACATTTTCTATATTTGTTGATCCAAATTCCTGTTATGAAGAAAAAAATAGAGAATATATTTATATTTTTCACAACACTGAAATTTACTGATGAAAAATGTATCTATAGAGACCACATAAAGATAAAGCAGCAGTAAAAAAAAATCAAGCGATTACATTAACCATGTTATTCAAACAACAAAAGTAAGTACAGGTGAATATTTTGTCTAATGTTGTTCAGATATCTTAAAAGAGTCAATGCCATTTTGTTGAATTTGCTAAAAAAAAATTCTAATTTAAGAGTTTTCTTGCCTGCGTTTATTTTCTAAATATTTCAAACAATTTAAAGCAATATTATTCATTCAGCTCCACCCTGAACCTCACAAAACCACCACGTAATTCAAAACTATGAGGCCCTTACATTATCTAGTTCCATTTCATCCTCTGAATCAGAAACATCACCAGAGTAGATGCTAGACTGTTTGGATGCTGGTAGCTGCTGGAGCAGTCTCTGTAGCAGCTTTAAATATGCTGCACACAGCTTCACATCCAAATTATCTGCACGTCAAATTAACAATGTATATAAAAAACAATAACAACTAACTTCCAAATTTAAACATAATGAGTTGGAAAGAAATGAAAAAAAAAAACAAATACAGAAAAGCATGAAAAGATGTTGTAAATAACAGATGATTCATTGGGAGTTGAAAAAGGTGAAGAAGAATTATATGTGGTGAAAAAGTTAGATAATGTAGAACACATTTTTTTTTAAATTTCAGATAGCTTCTTAACCATATAACACAAATTTAACAATGCAATATTTACTGTAACAACATTGAAATAATCTGTTTATCCAGCTAGTTTAATTTAATTATCATGTATATTACAAGAACATCACAGCAGGAGTACTGATCAAAATATTTTCTACAATCATTATAAAGATTGATTCAACAAGTTGATGTTGTGAATCAAGTGCTATTCAAGTTTTACTCAATATTGTGTGTAATGTAACAAAGGTTTACCTAGCTCTTTGTTTGCCAACATCAGCAAAGAGACCAAAAGCCAAGGAGTGTCACCATCTCCGATGTTGTAGTCATCTTCAGAGTCGTAAGAGGGTGAGGGTAAATCTGACCCTCTAGCTGGTAAAACTGTCCCTTCAATTAGTGTCTGAATCAGTTCAACAAATGGGAATGGGTATTTCCCATAAGCCATTGCTGGTAAAAGGAATAATGCTATTTGTTCTGAGTATTGCTCACAAAGGAATGTCTTGGTTACTTTTCTCAAAATGTCCTGTCTGTTGAAAAAAAAATTAAATATACTCTTAAATTCATTTCTAAGAAAAAGTATATTTTACCATTTTAATTAACTGTATTTATTAAACTTATCAATGTTCAAATGTTTGAAGGGCGTTGTTTGTTAAGTGTGCAAAGAATAGGTACTTCGCAATTATATTATTATTTCAGCCATTACTCAGGATCCATAATAATTTAATAAAAATTGTAAAGTCAATAAGGGTTAAATTTAAAAAATTATATAAGTAAATACACTTGTTTTAAGATCAGCAACAGTAGCTTTATCCACACTAAATTCCCTACTTCAGAATCAAATGTTGGAAAAACACACATAAAAACTTACAAAGGAGTAAACATAAAACAAACAAAATCTTCAACTCACTTGAATGACTTATCAGCTGCTGTGACAGCAAAACTAACAGGACTCATGATCAGCTCAAAGATTGACTCAGCTATTGGTGTGGGTGGGACAGATGTTTTCTCCAGGCTTGCTGGGACTCGGCTGTTCAGTAACTTTCTCAAACAGTTAAAATATCCTGTAGGGTAAAATTTTGTTTCATCTTATGCATCACAATTAATTAATGCCCATCAAAATATGGATAAGATGAAAATGATTATAACAACAAAAAAAAACATTTAAACAAGATGTCAACAAGTTACTTTTAAATAAGAACTTGTTATTCATAACCCTAATAAAATATTCAAGAGCTGGTTATTCAAAATGTTAGCAGAACCAATTTGAATATCTAAAAATTAAGCAGAAAAGCACTAGTTTAATTCACTCAGAAAAGAAATACCAGCATAGAGGCAGTTTAGAGATTTTAAGTTCCATGCATTAAAAAACTCCTACCTTTATTGACCAAGCTTTGTAAAAGTTCAGAAACAAACTTCTGGTTGTCTGTATTTCCTCCAAAGTTAATATTGCCATAGGTTAAGGGAGACAGGAAGATTTCTAACATTCTCATTGGTATGGCTATCGGCGTATTTGCCTCCGCTATAGTATTCAAGTATCTGTGAAATTGTTTTAACAAACAATGTTAACTAATAAAAATAGTATAAATATAATATCAAAATATTTGTATTTGAATTTAACTAACACGCAAGTAGTTAAAATTTTGAAAATATCCTTTTTATTACATATAATTTACAATAAGAAATAAATGTTATTTGTTTTCAAAACACTTTTATAATAAATAGAATAACTTTTAATTTGAAAAAAAGAAAAGACAACATGGAACTTACCCAACAACTATGTTCAATAAAGAACTAATTTGTAAATATAACCCAGAAGGGTTTCCATGGAAACTGTTGAGGTATTCATCTTTCTGTTTTATCAGCTGCTGGCATAACAATACCTGGAAACAAAATCAATTATAGAAAATTGTTTCCAGTAAATCTAGTTTTCTGTATTTGTTAATGGAAAATTATCCATAAGTATTATATTATTCACACTAAGATTAACAAAGTGCTGGCTAACTAAATAACCTAATAATATTTACACCTAATTTAAATTGTTGCTATAATTGAATCACTGGTTCTATGTTTTAAAATGGAATACCGATATTAAACAATAGGTATCTCCATATTATGGTGCTCATTTGCATTAAATAGTTAGCCTGTAGCCTTAGAACAAGAACTTGAGATCAAACACATGATAAAAATATACTATTACTAGTCACAAGATCTATTCACGCTTACAAGTCTTTGACCATCCAATGGATCTCTAAAAAACAAGCACAGCTTTGAGATACACCAGCTGAGAGAGTTGATGTCAAAACTAATTTGATTGCCTTTGCTTTGAAACTTTTTATCAAACTCAGTCTGCAGTTGTGCCCTCTGAAAAGTACATAAAATGCTTTTTTTATAATATATTACAAATAACAAATGTGAGAATATATTAATAACCTTTTTTTAGTACTGACAAAATTAAAATAAAGTTTTTAAAAATAAAGATCCACTTACTAGATTTTTTCTAATATAATAACCCCTAAAGTATGACTGTATTTTGGTGGCACTTGAAATTTGAAGACGGGCTTCCTGTGAGAAAATAATTTGTAAAAATTAGAACTTTCAAGCATTCTACCATTAAAAAAGTTGAGTAAGCCTTTTATTTTATTTAACTGAATACTTTTTTTTACTAACCTCTCTTTTTCTTCTTTCCTCTTGAGCTCTTTGCAATAATGAGTCCTTTTTTTCCTATACAATAAAATTGAAAGCTGTAAAAATTCTGTCAGCATAATAAACATTTTATATTAATCTCTAGATATTTTGCCATTAGTTATAGATCTATGAATAAGTCATCATCTTTAATAATGTAGGACTTTAATTTATCTTCAGTGTGACCAAATAATGATGGGTCTAAATTCACCTGTGTTTATCAGCATTATGTTTAACTATTTCATATATATAAACCTGGACTAAATTTACACAGCAATTTATAAATTCTAATAACCTCAAAGAAAATGAAGGCAATATTTCTTAAACTGAAATTGATAATGGAAGGGATTGCATACAAATTCTGTAACAGGAACGTGGTGGGGTAGGGATTACTATTGTGTTGTGTTGACATTGTGTTAATTGGGATAGGGTGGTAGTAAAGAGCTACATTTTAAGCATAACACAGCCTTTAATATTCTTTGTTCTTATATTTACAAAATGTAATAAATATAAAATGGTTGGGTTAATAATGTTGGCTGAATGAAGGGGAGGGGTGTTCAATAAATGTGACATGGAAAAAAAATTATTTTAGTTATTTTTGAATAAAACTGTTATATCATTGCAGTGGGGGGTCTGTTTTTTGTCAAGCTGTTTGGATAGAATTTCATTGTATAAATCTGCTTAAGTGATGTGAAAATTTTTATGAACGGCCATTTACAAAACAAATTTTTTTCTTATTATTCCAGCTGTTAAATAAAGAGAAAAGCAGTTTTCTCTAAATCCCATAAGTTATACAAAAAAAATCCCAAAATGTTAGCAGCAACAAATTATTTTTCAGTGATGGGCAGATGGCATAAAACTTTTACATCTTAAAAGTTAAATGTTCCTAAGAAAATTTTATAGATTAAAAATTAAAACTGTTTTATTCTGGATGGGTGGGGTTAAGTGTGAATTCATAATAATGGGAAAGTGTGTTGTCTATGAAAACAAATGACCTGGTATAGCAAAAACAGAAATGACATAACAGAAATGTTTAATTATTTCTATACAGTAGGTTATTTATTTAATTTTTTTTTAATATAGCACAGAGTTACTTTCCCTTTATTAATTCAAACAAGGTCAGCTGATACCACTTTGACCTGTTTGAATTAAAATAATACTAAATTAATAGGCCTATTGCTCTGCTCTAATATAAACATTTAAGAAATAATGCATTGTCCATTACTTTTATTAATTACTCCTTCCTAGTACCTAACTAGTTAGCCTACAGCCAGAAAGCAAGAACTAGATCAAATAGATGACACAAATATATTAATACTAGTCACAAGATCTATCACTAGTAAATTGTAAATCAAATATTTAGTCTAGAATTATCTGGATTGGGAACTGATTTTTTTACACCAGTATCCGATAATAGAATCTTTAAAAAAGGAGTTTTAGATTACTGATAGTTAACTGAATTACACACATGTCTTGCTAATATCAATATGCTGACAGGATAACTCTATCCATACTCACCCTAACCCCCACCCTCGTCCTACAATACTTCTAACCTTAAAACTAGTCAAGATAACAATACTACTAACATTAACAACCTAACACACCATAATCATATTTTGGAAGAATCTTTTAGGCTCTTGGGTGTCTGTATCTTCAATCATCCGATTTATTTACTAATATTTTTACAGGCTTACGGCTTAGTAAAATCATGTCATTTGTAGATCTAGATTCTATAATCTACTAGAACTAGATTCTAGTGCTACCTACACTCTACACAGCCTACACTACATGTCCACACTAGTCACTAGTCTACAGGCATCTACAGTGCTACACCTAAGCCTACTATAGTACTAGTACTATACTATTCTATTTCTAGTGAATCTACTATCTACTAAACTAACTTAATGTTAGGCCTAATACTTTTAATACTAATAACTAATAATTAATTAGATCTAGATTAGATCTACTAGATCCAATACTTAGAGACTAGTAGATCTAGATTCTAGATCTAGATTAGATCTAGAGTAGATATCTACTAGATCTAGATCTAGATCTATCTACACAAGCCAGTGAAGCCAGAGAAGAAGAAAAATAAACACAGTCACAGACCTCCCCAAAAAATAAAAGTGAAGTAAAGACAGACGTAGAATCCAGATATCTAAGTCTAGATTCCGACAAATATTTGATTTTTATAAACAATTTCAGTATAGAGCAATAAATTATTTACATTTCTACTTGCACCCCTTAAAGACTGGACAGGTTTCTGACGAAAATCTCCGTTGAAGCTGTACATTTTACAACTGCAGTTAACTAAAACTTGTAAAATGTGTTATTTTCGAGAATATTACGGCTTTGCTATAGATAGCTTTGTCATTCTCTCTGTTATAAGAGAACTTTAGTGGTTGGGCACATTTAGCCAATAGTAGGATGTTTACATGCATCTAATGACAGAGCTTCTGATTGGTTAAAATATTACAAAAGTATGACAATGGAAACGAGGCCGAGGATACCCCAATTTTGTATTATAGGAGTTTGTCAAAGAAGAATGGAGAAGGGTTTAGATCTAATTAGGTTATAATTGAAATGCATGCTGTAAGTATAACAAAATTCAAGCTATCATTAACTGGTCATAGCTCCACAAACTATTTGCTAACCTAAAAGTGCTTAAAAATATTTTCTACCGGGATATACCTTTAAACGTCACTAGAACTGTGTTAGCTAAAAATAGTATCCAATCAACAATCAAATACCAAGATAACTTTTGTTCCTAAAGTTTAATAAAGATAGGTCTAATAAAAGCCAATGCCGGTGGGCTACCTAGAAGTTTGTAAACATATTAATAAAACCATGTTGTATTTTATTGGGTTAGGTTTAGGGGATGCTAAAGACATCACGGTCAAAGGTTTGGAAGTTATCAAAAACGCAGAAAGAGTTTACTTAGAAGCATACACATCCATTCTGACCGTTGGGAAAGAAGCTCTGGTGGGTTTACTTACTTTTAAAACTTTTTCTTAACTCTTCTCTTCAACTACTTTCGCTTTCTCAGATCTTCGATTCCAACTTCAATTAATTGACAATTAGATTTAGAAATATAGATTTATCTCACTGTCTGTAGTGTCATCATTTTCTTAAGAGACTCAGGGGGGGTGAGACTATTAAATTAATTTATTAAATTATTAAATTAACCTAAAATTATAAACTAGCATTCTGGCGGTAATCTATCAACTATCAACTATCAACTTTTTACTATCAACTATCAGATATAGAGTCTATCTAGATTCTATCCGTAGGTACGTAAAATCGCCCGCGGCTAGATCTAGAAATCTAGTAATGTTCGAAAAAGTTACCTCGTTGTCAAGGCTTTAACTTTAATAGAAGTATATTGTGATATATTATTATATTTGTGTCAAATATTATAGAATATAATATAGGCCTAGATAAATGAATAGGGTCTAATAAACCTAACTAAATCAATGGCAATGGCTAAATATAATAAATATATCAATATAGTAATATAGGGCCTAGGTTAGAAATTAACTTTAAACAGCAGCGTTTGCAAGCAAAATTTGCTATTTAAACAGCAGCCATTTATAAAATAGAGTGGCTTCCCCTGAATCTCGCACTATAAGTTTACCAAAAAAAACTTAAACAAGATGGCTGCTATAGTGAGCATGGTTGCATCTGTTGGAAACATCGCTAGTCTTCATTTATTACTGATAAGTTTTAATTCAATTGTTTATAAACAGGTACATTTTTGTATTTTTCAAAACATAAATCCTCCTCAAAATGTGAAATAATTATTAAAATTTAAGGAGTCGCCTGTTTTTCACATGACTAGTCACGGGCGATTTTAATTACCCAAAACAATAGATTACCTACTGGCCTATATATATAACTAGGCCTACTGCCTAGCTTCGCTTAGGTTTTTAAATAACATTTGAGAATTTGAATACTTAATTATTTAGCGATGGATTGGGTGTGGAGTGCTTTAATTTAAAAAGTAATGCTAACTTTAGAAAAAAAATGTTTTTGTTTGTCATTTAAATACCGTTCTCAGAGAAATATAGGAAAGTACGCAATCTATAACTAAAATGGAATTAGAACTACACAGGTTCCATGAACAGTATATCTCATAGTTTATATTACACTGCCTTTTGAAATTTATTTATTTATTTAATTAGGATACTGAATTAACAACTTAATTTTGTACTAAAACAAATGCTATCCTTCATCATTTTCTGTTTCTGTTTAAAATAGTATACAATTATTTGAAAAATAATAATTTTACAAAATTTTTGAAAACTGAACGTATGATGTAAGTCTTTGTTTACTTTTTTTTTTACAAACAATTGCTATGCTTATATAAGAAATTACGGTATATGAACATATTTAACGACTATAATGGCTGTTTCCGACGGGAATAAATTTTTTTTGTTACCTTCCAGGGTTGGTCTACGACGTCATATAATATTAAGGGGATCGTTCGTCTATTTATATATATATATATCTCATATAAGGAGAATTTCACTCTCGATCATCTTTTAGCCCTCGTGGAGGGCTTTGAGTCTGACCAACAGTTTTTCCATACGGCATAGTCATCTATAGTAGTGTATGCAAAAACAATTTTTTTTCGTAATAGAGCTCATATAAAGAGAATTTCTCTCGCGGTCACTTTTTAGCCCTCGTCGAGGGCTTTGAGTGAAACCGACAGTTTCCCTAAAGGTCAAGCCATTCACCTAAGAGTATGCAAAAAATTAGCCAGATATACTGAGTTTAAGTATCCTAAAATCCGCGTTGAAATGACCCTATGTTTTTCCCATAAAATACAAAGATTGTATAGGGAAATACAACTGGTCAGTTTTGACCCCTTTACGAAGTTTTCCCAGATATGCCGAGTTTTTTGTGACATCCCAAGACGTTCTCCTACCACCTCACAAAATATCAAGGGGGGTCGTCGGAGGAAAAATTTTTTAGTAATAGAGCTCATATAAAGAGAATTTCACTCGCGGTCACTTTTTAGCCCTCGTCGAGGGCTTTGAGTGAAACCGACAGTTTTCCCTAAAGGTCAAGCCATTCACCTAAGAGTACGCAAAAAATTAGCCAGATATACTGAGTTTAAGTACCCTAAAATCCGCGTTGAAATGAGCCTCTGTTTTTCCCATAAAATACAAAGATTGTATAGGGAAATACAACTGGTCAGTTTTGACCCCTTTACGAAGTTTTCCCAGATATGCCGAGTTTTTTGTGACATCCCAAGACGTTCTCCTACCACCTCACAAAATATCAAGGGGGGTCGTCGGAGGAAAAATTTTTTAGTAATAGAGCTCATATAAAGAGAATTTCACTCGCGGTCACTTTTTAGCCCTCGTCGAGGGCTTTGAGTGAAACCGACAGTTTTCCCTAAAGGTCAAGCCATTCACCTAAGAGTACGCAAAAAATTAGCCAGATATACTGAGTTTAAGTACCCTAAAATCCGCGTTGAAATGAGCCTCTGTTTTTCCCATAAAATACAAAGATTATATAGGGAAATACAACTGGTCAGTTTTGACCCCTTTACGAAGTTTTCCCAGATATGCCGAGTTTTTTGTGACACCCCAAGGCGTTCTCCTACCACCTCACAAAATATCAAGGGGGGTCGTTGGAGGAAATTTTTTTTCGTAATATAGCCCATATAAGGCGCCGGTCAGTCGAGGTCAGTTTTGACCCCCTATCCGTAGACATTTCGGCAAACCGTCACCAGCCCTCGTGTTCTATCGCTCCAAGGCACCATCATGCCAAATTCGACGCGCCTGCGGGGCCGGGAAGTGCCCTGTCGGGCACCCGACCACTTTGCTTTATATATATAGATATGGGTCTACTAATTGTAATTATATTATTAATATTATATAATTTAATTATAAGTTATAAGCCAGTATATTTCAGTATAATAAGTTAAAAATAAAGTAGGCCTATAGTATAGTATAAGGCTTAATAAGGCCTATTATACTCTAACTCTACTACTGTACCCTATATCAAGAAAAAAATGCCTTTTAGTGGCAATCAGGATTAATTATTAATTAATAATATTATAATTAATTAGGCTACCAACTTGTTCAAAGCCGTATTCACAGCTGTCAATAGTTGTGTTAGAGATATCTGACGTCAACAGCTTGATATTAATAAAATATCATTTTAATTAGGCCTACCTACTCTTTATGACATTTTAGAAGAAGTTCCTTTTACTTTTATTCTATAACCTCATGACACATAGTAGAGCGCCAGGAAACAACGATAAACTAATTATTTTATCGTTGTGTCATTTTGTTTAGCTTCTCTAAATCCGCTACTACTCGTCATCATTGCAATCTTCTATGCAGTCAACCATAGATCCCTAATGTCCTGGGACATTTTATCCAGTCAAGTTAACTTTATGCTGTATCAATTTTGTGGGCAACCAATAACCTATTATCATTTGGCCTTTGAAGTTCAATGCCAGTCTGGTGATGTAAGTTAACTACTCTATTGTTAAGTTACACCCTGTTGAGTGACATCTTGTCCTTCTCATTTAATTTTCCTATTTTACAGGTCAATTGTAAATCAGTTCTCTATGTTTTTGTATGGTCTTGCTCTATCTAATCCTCTCTGCCATTAGACTGAAATTTTGGTGGTCACTAACTGTTTCCAGGAGTCCCATATATGCCTTCTCATAAATGATAATGGTGATTGATTCAAAATTGGTGGAATCTTAAACTTACTTCTGTGGATTTACTTCATTTGCTGTTAATATTATTTTCAGGAGGATTACTATGGAAAAAACATTATTTTGGCTGATCGGGACATGGTTGAGCTAAGTTCGGGTAACATATTATTATACTGAGACACTTACTGTTTGGTTAAGCTTGTATTTATTTTTCTAAACAGTAGTTTTAGAATAAGAAAACTGACAAAAATATTTTTGTATCATTATAGATGAGCTTATGGCTGGAGCTGATGAAGTAGATGTTGCTTTCTTGGTAGTTGGAGACCCCTTAGGGTAATTGTATTTTAATTCCATTAATTATTCCCTAATTACTTGTTTGCAATTAATTAGCTTTAACATGTAAGATTGATATTTGATTTGAAACTGTAATTTTCATATTTTTTACCTAAATAAGGGCAACAACTCACACAGACTTGATCCTTCGTGCTGTAGAGAAAAATATTCCTTATAGAATTATACATAATGCATCAATTATGAATGCAATTGGATGCTGTGGGTTACAGGCAAGTGCTAATCTATGTCAATTTTAATCATACATGTTAATAATAGTAGGAAATTCATTTCTGTTTTGAATTCCAGTTTTGTTAATAATCTGTTAAACTGAACTTTATTATAAATTATAAATGTAGTAACAGTGTTATAAAAACTTCTCAGGTTAAAAAAAATTATTAATAAACATTGGCATATGATATAAACGTGAATTCTTATTTTTGGTATTAAACTAAAATATAGATATTTTGCCAGAAAGGGTGTGTAAAGTTCTGTTTCAAACCTGATGGTCCTAAGAATTCATCTCTTTATATGTCTTCTGAATATAAAGATTTTGTTCTTGAATTCCTTGAGCTTGAATCTAAAATAGGGATGGTAATGCTCATAAATATCATTGAGCTCACTCAATTCTGCATTAAAACATGTTGAAATATATTTCAAAAATGAAAAAAAAGAAAGTTTTTGCAAATGCTGCCTTTGTTTCTTACAAATCTGTTTATATTTAACTCAAGTTCTGTTTCTAACAGCTTTACAATTATGGTGAAACAGTTTCTATTGTTTTCTGGACTGATGATTGGCAACCAGAGAGTTTCTATGATAAAATTATATCCAACAGAGAAAGAGGGATGCACACTTTATGTCTTCTTGGTTTGTATTCCTTTTAATTGTGTGTTGTTGTTTTTTCACTTACAGCTATTTTTACTAATTTTTAAAATTCTCAACAATTTTTTTTCATTGAAGTAATTTCAATGATAAAAAGTATGCTATAAAAAACTATCATTAGGTAATTAATGCATGAGTAATTAATTAACAAGACTCAAACTGAATACGTCCTTCAGTCTGTAACGACAAGGAATTCAGCAGCTATTGTGACATTACTATTTGAGAAGTTATCATAAGCCCAACATTTGTGAAGTAATAAAAATACCTTTTACTCTCTCAATAGATATAAAAATGAAAGAACAAACTATCGAAAACCTCATGAAGTAAGTTTTCTTGTGATTAACCTACAATTATTGATAGGTGTAATTAAAAATACAAATGAATGATAATTGCATTAAAAAAATTTGGCGATTCATCAATTTTGAGGTCATAATTTTAAAATTGCATCCATAGAGGCCGACCTATATTTGAACCACCTCGTTTTCTAAGTGCATCTCAGGCCTGTCAGCAACTAATAAAAATTATTGAAAGAAGGGACGAGGAAAAGAAAACAAAAGCTGGTAAGATTTCTTTTTTTTTAAATTTTAGAACTCTTGATTCTGAACTTATGTTACTGCACACATTTTAACATAAATAGTAAATTTTATCCCTTTTTTTATAGATTTGAATACTGATTCCATTTGCATAGCTGTGGCTAGAGTTGGGGCAGAGGACCAGAAAATTGCGACTGCGACCTTAAAAGAAATGTCCTCCTATGACCTAGGATCACCTTTACATTCTCTTGTCATTCCCGGTCATATGCATCCCTTAGAAAAGCAGATGTTAGAACTATTTGCTGTTAGTGATCATGTCAAGACTTGTTTGCAGAAAGATGAAATATAGCATTACATGTTAAATATATTAAATGTATTGTTTGTTTCAATGTATTGAAGAAAGTTTGAGTAATTTGAAAGTATGGTAATTTTAAAGTCATCCCACTCATTTAGTTTCCAGGTCAATAATGATCAGACTACCATTAAACATTTTATTTTATAATCACAAATTAGAAAACACTTTTTTAAATTCTCATTTGATTTTGCTACTTGTAAAAGTGTGTATTGTAAGAGGGCACATTAATTCCAGTAGGATAGAAGTAATTATAGATTTATACTTCTATAGGTGTTTTAATACTAAACAATTTTCAAAAAGAGACAAATTGTTTTCTTAAATTCATACATAAATTATATCAAATTTCAAAAGGAGAACTGGTTCAAGAAAAATGTTTCTTATATTAAGTTTAAGTTACATAATAACAAAGCAATGGATTGAAGCAAATATATTTATTTTCTTATGAAGAAAATCATGATTAAACAAGTGCAAAAAACCTGTCCATGAAAAATTATTTAGTTACATTTGTATTACAGAAATAACATCCAAAGTCATTCAAAAAGACAAATATATGCTGTAAACTTCAGTAAATGTTCAATTCAATAACAATACAACTGAAAATGTTAATGTAATTTATTTTTACAATATATTTTCAATCTCATTTTTTGCTAATATTATTATATATTTTGCATTTGTAAAATAAGAATTAGCCATCTTGAAAAGAACATAAGGAAGTTAACAAAAAGATTTTTTGTTTCAATCTTTGAAACAATTGAATACACAGGTGATAGACAATAGGCATTTATACTAATTTTTAAGAGCTTTTATTTCTTAAAAAATAATTTAATGAATTTCCAGAATGGTAACTTTCTCAATAATATGACAGAATTTAAAAATTTGAACTTGGACTACTTTTCAGCAAAATTTTTGCATACCGGTAAAAAGTGTACAAAAATAAATGCACAGCCAATTATGCCAGTAGGAAAAATGTTTAAAAATATATCACTATACATAAAAAATATGCACACAGTTTACCAAATTTAATAAACAGGCGTTTACTCAATATCTAGTCACTGCAACATTTTTTTATTTACATATCAAATTCTATTTACTATACAGTTATTACTTTAGTGCCTTGACAATTTAATTTGTGTTCATCTATAAATTGAAAGTTTTATAACACTACACCATTAAATTGCCAAAAATGAATATATGTTCTTTTGTAGTCAAATTTAATCAGTTATAAACTACTCATGCTACCAAAGTATGTACAGGGTCCTCTGACACTAAACATTCTTACATTAAACATTTATTATAGTATACTTAAAATGTTATTAAATGCTTCAATCTAGGGTATATTTTAAAACCATAGAATATATTAATACATGTACAATTATTTTTTTCCAAGATTTGAGAACAAATTTATTTGGTAAGCTAGATTAGTTAGTATTTAACATTGATTTAAAACATGTTCTACAACATTTGAACTGTGAAATAATATTTTAGATGCTTCAATGAGAAACCTAGAATAAAGTTCTTGACTAGAACATAAAAGTCACAATTTAGATTGTTCCACAAAATGCATATCTGAATTTACACACAAAAATTGATATATTCTAGTCAAATACTGATGCACATTACTAGACTAACCATCAATCAAAAATATATCCTCATACAATTGTTACACCAAGTTGATCAGATCTTTAAATACAATCACCATCAAGCCACATTGGTTTGGTTGCAGTAGATTTTAATTATCACAGTGAGATATCCATTTTAGTATATTTGCTCTCCAGGCTGTATCTGGTGTAAATCTCATGTCATCAATGATAAAATAAAGCAAAGTATGGCATTTTGTATTATTGGTCATACAAATTCAAAGAAAAAATAATGTCCAAGAAATGTAGATGTATTTTTTTCAGTCAACCATGATAATTAGGAGTGGTAACATTTATTTAAATGTACTTTTAATCTATGAGTAGTAGTATTAATAATGCAACGGTTAAAGAGTTAACCATTTTGTTTGATATAAATTTCAAACCACATCATTTTTTGAAAAATAACTTAAGAAAAACACAATAAACTGTCATGCTAACAAAATAAGTACAGCTAATTTTTTATTTTAAAAAAATAGGACTGAGATCTGAAAAAAACAGGAATATTTTGCAATTAGCATTCATTTCATTTTTTAAGAAACAATTTTATTTTAAATCAACAAGAAATTCTGTCAGAATATTTTGTTAAAAACAAAATCAATAAAATAATAAAGTGTAAATCATTTTTACATTTTGTATAAGGAAGGAGTCAGTTGATTAACATAAGAATATTACATGTATCAAATATTTTTTTTAGAAATAATTAACTAAAACTCTTTGATTTAATAAGATTATTTTTTTAAAGACAAGTATCAACAATTGAAAAGATATCATATCTGAAACACTTTTATTAATGACATTTTTGTACTAATATTAATAACAGTGATTGTTAGTCCTCTATAAATTTCAAATGCTTTTTTAGGATAGAAAAATCTATAAGAATTCTTTAAGATTCCTGCATCTAGAAATGTTCAGGCCATTCAATAGAAGTTGCTTGCATAATTACAGTATATCACATAATCTTAATGAGTACTGAAATAAAATAATTATGTATACTTTGATGAAATGTAAATATGAACATTTGTAATATGATTCAATTTTGGTGTGATTATTTTTGAGGAAAAACTAGTGAATTTTTTCTACAGTGAATTACAACAAAAAAAACACAGTACATTACACATAGATAGAATACTTTATCCAGTAAGTATATACACAATTTATTAAACTTATTGCCAAAATGTAAAAGAAATTATTCAATACAAACATTAATTGTCCAGATTATTATACATGTGTATTAAAAATACCAAGGCTAAACATAAGAATAGCATTATTTGTTTGAATTTTTAAACACAAAGATATTAAAGTATTATAATAACAAATGAACAAGGAACTTATATTCATAATTTAAAAAAGATACTTTTAAGTGTGAAAACTGAACAATTAAAAAAATGTTGATAAAATGTAAATATTAGTTTTTTCTGTTACTGTTATTTAACTGATATGGTGCAGATTTTTTTTAAAAACAATGTAACTACATCTCCAGCTATGAAAAACCTTTTAAATGAAAAAAAAAATTAAGTACAGAGGTAAAAAGAAAAACTCAGGAAAATAATTTTAGTAATAATTTTAAGGCTTTTTTCTTTCTTTTTCTCTTTTTTAACATTTACAATAGTTTTAGTATTTAAATTACAAAACTACACAAAAGAGTATTAATTATAAGTAAATTTACTTTAATATTAAAGCAATAAGGGACAGTAAGGTATCAGCACAAAACTCAATTTCATTAAAAAAAACTTTTTAGGGTGAACTTGAGTTAGAACTTGCTCCTTTAAAACAACAAATATGACAAGTTATCTCACAATAAAATCTGACCAAGCAAAACTTCTAAGATCTATTCGGTAAAACAACTTAAGATCAAAAAGTGCACAGCAAACAGACAATGACGTCAAAAATTTAATCCAAAGTCACAGTGCGCAGGGCATTATTCTCTGCTATCTCAAAGGTAGCCACAGCTCCATCATTAAATTTGAAAGACATTCCTCCATCTATCACCAAGCAAGCATCCCACATCCTTGACCTGATAGTTATTCTGGAAGCAAAATAGTACATTTTAAATGAAATAATTAAGAGTCCTTAAACTTTAAGACAAAAGGTAAGTGCTTTTAAGAACCAGGTTGCAGGATATTAGTAAAGAGGGTAACCCTTGACATAGTGTTTCTAAACTGAAGCTAGCAAATTTTTATCTGAAATTGGTAGCAGCTGACTCATAATTAGTTTTTATGACTTGCTCAATTGTCTAGCAAAATACAAGAATATATACAATATTTATATATTTGAGTTACTTTTCAAATACCATTTATTTTATGACCAAGAAAACATGCATTTAGTATGAGAGGACTTTTAGGCAAAGGTTTGAATTATTTTCAAACATTATAAATTTTTATTTTAGTGATTCTGTAAAAATAGCTTTCCTGTTTATTTTTAAATGACTCTATGACTTAATTTCTCAGCTTTGAAAAAACTGCATATTACATTTTTAAAGTAAGTTGATGACAAACTGTACTAAAAGCAAGCTGGCCACTTACTTTTTAGCAAATCCACTTGTACGCTCAACATTGAAAACAGCTAAATTTAAGAAAAAAAATAAACATCAGCAACTCCACACTTAATAATAACATTTATGTACAGCAAGGAAAATTCAAAATAAATTAATAACCAGTACTCTAAAATTAACTGTTGACGGAACTCCACTTAATATCTAAAGATACAAAATTGACTATAATGCAAATCATTATAAAAGTTGATATAAAATGGTATAATTTATGAATCAAAATCAAAACAATTAAAAGATGTCTAATTGAATGTATGTACCATTTCGAATAGGATCTCTAATAGTGTATGCCATATGTGGTTCGCTTGGGTCAAATCTCAAACTTCTATTAAATGAGTTCATTACTGTCTCTGTCAAAGCCTGATCCCTCACAGGGAAGTTAGCACCAGAAACCTCATTAGCTGGATAAAAAATAACATTTCAGAATGTTACTGACAACTCTAAAAAAACAAAAAACACCAACAATCAGCAGGTATTAATTATCAATACTTAGTAACATTTTTTCTATCTTGTACAATATCTGCAGTCCCAAATTGCCACTACAACTCTCTTGGCGTCTGATATTTTCTGTGTTCTCCAATTGTTTTGCTGAATTTTTAATCTGTTTTAATCACATATCTAGGTCATGCCATCAATATAATTACTTGCAAAACGTTATTTTAAACACTTCAGAACTGCATGTAAACACTTATTAAGATATTAAAAATACCAGAGGGAAGAAATTGCAGAAAATAGTAAAGTTGTGTAAAATAAGTTGAAAGAATAAAAATATTACTTTACAACTATTAACTAAAATTTATAAAGGAAAAAGGGGGCATTCTTGATATACTAACCAATAGACAAAACTTTTTGTACTGAGCACAGTGAAAGGTGATTTATGTGAAAATGCCATGAACTTGAGCCAGTCCCTGTACAAATAGTTACACCAGAACTCTTCTGTTTTTCTTTTGCTATTGTGTCTGTTGAGAACTCATAGTAGGAGACTCTAGATAAGAAATTATATATTTTCAACAACTCATTTTTATCAAAATTAAACATATCTACAAAGAGAAATAATCAAACAACAAAGTTTCTGGTTAGTAAGTTTAACAAAATCCCCAGATAAAGTTTAATTGATATAAAGCAGTAATGTTTCATTATAAAAAAACTTTGTATTTTTCAATACTCATTTTTTTTTTTGCAGAAATCTTCAAAAATGTGGTATGCTTTACATAGAAACAATAATATTGGGGGCTTGATATTTAAATCTGCACCTTAATTTTCAAATAACCTTATTTGATAATAAATATATTATTCTGTTAAAAAACAAGCAATAGACAGATTTAGTGTGTGCTCTATACTTTACCTTGAAGAGAGAGATTCTCCAATGAAACATTCATTTAATGCTAGACATGGCAAAGTTCTTGTTGGAAAAAGCATAGTCTCGTTACTATTTTGTTTCAGGACCCTCACTTGCTCATCCTCAGCTATATGTTCTGTGAACCGATGTTCAGGGAATATCAACTGCTGGTCATGTAGCTCAATGGGTTCATCATTTATATGTCTTCCAGACATGGTAACTTGTATACGCTGTCTCCATTTCCATCTGCGTGCATACCAAAGTTATCTTTCATTATTTGTTCAACATTGTTGGATTAACCTACAGTAATATATAAATTATATTTCTAAAAGATAATGTTAAACTGAAAGTTGTTAGACTTTCAAAAAAATAAATCAATATTTAATGGGCATGGTGATCATGCTGTCAAGTGCCCAATTTTTTATGTCAACCAGGCACAAACCATGGAATAAACCAGGGTTTATCTTTAGAGTCTAGACAACTTCCTTGAGCCAACACAGCTCTGGATAGTACCTTCAAAGGTAGTATAGGCAGCTGGGTATTTAGATGGCCACACAAACTAATGCCATGACTATGAAAACAGGTGAACTTTTCTTTAGCTGCCTCACAAGGCACCCTATATTATTTAATTAAAGATCATAATTAAATTCAAATCAGTACTAATTTATCTGTAGCTGAAAAGATATGCCATGACATTAATAGAAATAAAGTCACTGTTTTTTTTTAAACTATTACTATCTCTTATACTAGATTAAGGACTGTCAAAATTTATGAAAGGCTAATCTGCATTTTTTAAACTGTACTTTTATGACCAATTAATAGAATCTAAAAATTTTAACTCACCCAAAATCACCAGCCAGAAGCTTCTTTAGAGCACTTGCAAATTTAGTAGCTGGGTAGTCAACTTTGGGGAGACACAAATGACCCTCTGATCTGATGATAAAGTTTTATTTTCAGTCAATTTTATGCAAGTGGTTTTACATCAATAATGTCTCTCTAGAGGAAGGAGGGTTCAGACTCATGCCTCAATGTTTGATGAATGGAAGAGGAGCTTAATTGGTGTTAAAAGAGTCACAATTCCACATTGAAAATAAGGAAATTTTTGGAAGGAATGTTCTAATTGTAAATTTTTTTTGTGAAAAGTATTAGATACATTTGTTCAATATACTAAATCTGAACCCATCTCAGTTAAAAAATTGTTTTACACTGAACCAAAATTGCAATCATAGGGGAAGGAAGGGGGTGTTGGCTGAAGTATATCTCTAGGGGGTGTATTTTAGTTATGATGGGTAAAACATTTAAAAACTGATATCAGAATTATTTTTTTTTAAATTTGTAAACAAAGCGTCTGTTGATACCTTTCGGGGTCTGTATTAATTCCAATCAGAGGCTTGCTGGTATTGATAAACTTATTGGCAGCCAAAAGATATGTTCCATCCCCACCAGCAGTGAATACCACATCAGCCCAGTCTACAACACTTTGAACTAAATCAAATCTGTGAACTATTCTTGTTTCAATATTTGCATTCCTGAAATTTTAAAAATTAAATCACCATTATAATCTAGATATTGATTATAAGTAGTTTAATCATAAACTTTATTTATTTATATTAGGTAAAGACTGAATGCATTTTTAATACTTACAAAAGCTCTTTTCGGACTATATCTAGAGCTGCATAATGATTTTTATGACGATCAAGAAGACCCACATAATCTGAATCTTTAGAATTAAGCTAAAAATTTGGAAAAGACAATAATGTAAATAAGGGTTTAAATTTTGCTGAAAATGTAGAGACAGATAATTTTAAAAACTAACTTTCAAAATTAAAACTATTTAAAACTCACAACAATGTGTATGAATAGTTATGACACAGTAAATAATAGCACAATGTTTCATCCTGTTTGAAATTTTAAGAATGGCAATAGCCCAGAAAACTCTCAATGGGGATTTTAATTAATTAAAAAAATTGTAGGCATTGTTTTGAAACAGGTGATTACTGGTTTCGGTAATTAAAAAAAAAATCTTGCGCCAAAGACATTTTTTTCTAATTGCCCAATGATATGTAAATTAAATGAAAACAAACTAGGTCATAAGTACAGAATCCTTTTTAGACTTAGCAATCCATTGAGCAGATGAAGTAGAGCTCATATGTTTTTTGATCTCAGCATATGAAGGGAAGAGCTTTGTCCAACCGCCTTTACTTTCCCTAACATGAGTTACCCGTCAAAGTGGGGTGGATTCAGGGATGCTCTACTGACTTGAACCCAGATTTGAACTCAAGACTTTCGGGTTTGCAGCCTAGTGCTCTACTGCTTAGGCCATGCTGTCCCATAAACTAACATTTACTGGAAGAGAGATGGACCCTGATTGAATCCTAGTCAGTCAAAGTTTCTCTTACAAATGTGATCCATGATAGCAATGTAGATATATTAAAGACAAAAAAGTACATTTTCAAGTGTTCCCGCTTTTGCAAATTTCTTAATTTTTTCATCTTTTACTAAAAGATTTAGTTTTAAAATTTGTTTTTATAAACTTTCAGAGAAATCTGGAACTAAAGCTAAATAAGGTTACGTCAAGTCATAGATTATTAATACCAAACTTAACTATTATTACTATTGGAGTACTTTTCCAACATTCAAAATATGGGTGTTGCATATAAATATTAGGGATCATCAGTTTATGATGTCCACACAGGTATTTGTAAAATGAAACTTGCAAGACTCAAAATGTCAAAGTGGTAAAAACCTAGATAAAAAATTAGACAGTTGCAGAATCACCAGTTAATGAAGACATTTCATAACTCAAATATTTAATATTTATGGGCTGCTAAAAATCTTAGGCAGCTACTACCAACAGAAAAATACAGATTTAAGAGCATGGTGGTGTTGAAAGTCAACAGAACTGAAAGCAAATGATGATCAATAGCAGTATGTCAAGCGACATAAAAAAGTTTTGTGTGTGGTAAAATTTTTGCTCACATCTCTTCACTTGAGCAGATGGTAGACAGTAAAATCCCACCCACCCTCTCCACTCTCTGAGGGGGGGACGATCTGTCCGGGATTCAAAGGGTCGATTCAAAATATCATCATTAACCTTAACTAATGTAACAATGTTACATGTAGTAAACTATCTATAATAATCTATAGTTTGAAGACTGTCTATACTATAAGTCTAAAATTTGACAACAGTATCCTCAATCATACTTTTTTTTCACTGTGTGAACTAGTAATGAGTAATGTTAATAAAAGTGCTTACATATTCCTTAAATTCATTATCTGTCATTGATTGACACAGTTTTCTTTCATACTCAAATCTTGTCATTTTAGTTAAAATGACAGCACGTTTGGGTTGGAAAACTGGCTCTACATCTTCACTTAAACGAAGTCTTTGTCCATGGTTCTTAGAATCTGCAACATCTAAACCATACTTGCTTTTGCATCTTACTTCAGAACAAGATCTGGTAGACCAGTTCATGTGTAAGCGAAAGTCATTTTTCGAAAAGGCTGGTGAAAGGGAACAAGTTTTATAATTTTTCCATTTCGAAACCAGCAAAACTCTTGTAATAGTCGCACTTCGCATATCTTTAGAGATTTATACAAATTTCAACAAGATTATTTAGATGGGTGTTTTGAATGCATTTATTTTAAATTTAATAAAACATCAACTAGGCCTAATTTGGCGTCAGTCTTAAACGTAGCATTGGCATATCATGCGGAATATCTATTCTGTTTGTTTTGTTTGGAAGGTAACAGCCATTTTCTTTTTAAGTAAAGCTAAAGTTAAGTAAGTTTTCGGATTTGTTGTTTACTAGCTTAAAGAATTAATTATATTTGAATAGTTGATTAAATTTATCTAGAAAATCTACATTATCCTTATCAAAATGACAAAAGTAGTTTTAATTAAAAATACGAAGAAAATGTAGCTCTGCTTCATAAGGCCACGACAGCTGTGTTGTTTTCGCCGACTGTGTCGGTGCTCAAAATCGTGGCATGTCATCATAGTCTTTATTGTTGATGCTGACAAATATTGTTGTGGATTGAAATGCTCCCTTTGCATACTGGCGATAAGTACCGGCCTGGATCGAAAATAAAAGAAAAACTTTGCGGTTGGATCAGGTAACTAATCTAGATCATGTCTAAGCTGTCTTTTGCTCTTTTTTTTTATTTTGTGTACGGCACGGTTTTTTTGTAATGCAAGGTTTTAGGTTAATGAACCGTGCCTACTTGAAATTTTATGCCTATTTTATTTTATGTTTTACGATAGAGTTATAGATTCTAGATCTATCAGATGAGATTATTTGTTTTTAATCTTAGTTCTAGTCTATTGATATCGGATCAGTTGGCTGAGAAGGGCCGAATTTATTGGCATGGATCTAAAATTCTAAAATAATCGAAATAAAAGTGAAGTGTTGATGTTCATTTTTATTTTGGCTTATCTGCTCTTTCATTTTTAATTGAAATGTTGATCGGTATTATTTCCTCATTTTTACTTTGACGCTAGTGTTCTATCATCATAGTATACTAGTAACTTGCCATACTAACTACATACTACATACTACATAGTCGTAGTTTAAGTCATTTTGCAGTCCCACCATTCCAGAATTGTTCAGCTAAATTATGAAAAAAATGTGTCTTGGTCACCATTTCCTTTTGGCATTCGTTTACGTTTCAATATTAATTTACATGTTTATCATGAGGAAAATATCAGCTGCCAAAATTGTGGGAGCTTTAAAAATAAATACAATATTTTAGAAATGTTCTGATAAATTTCCATTTATTAAACCGAAATAAACGTTGTTTTTTTGGGATTTGTAATAGTCATCCAGACCACCCAGAGTTTCTTCCATGCATCTCTTCCCCCCCCCCCCCCCCCCCCCCCAATTTTTTACCCCCAATTTATATAGAAAATATGGAAAATATTTACTTTTAATAGTGTCCGCCCCCGAAGAAAGTTTACCGCCCCCCCCCCCCTGAAAATTTCAAGTGCCCCCCCGGAGAAAAAAAGTCTGGAAGAAACACTGAGACCACCTAATTTTCTTGGGATAACAAAGGGTTTGGGGGTGTTTCATATATGTTTAAAGATGTTTATCTCCCACACTGTCACACATTGTCACAAAAAGCCAGACCCTCACATCTAAAAAGATGTCACACCTCAGCAAACATGTTTTTGTCTTTTGAAAAAACAGATTTTGGCTGAGGATGGTATTGACCAGACTATCCTTTAATATGCTGAGGTCAGAGAAACAGGTGAACTCTACTTCCCATGGCCCACCACATCCAAAAGGCAACTTAACACACACATGCACTATGATATTACAGATTTTCTGACCTCTAAACTATATACAAACTTGTAAACCTAGCTAAGTTTTAAAAGTATATAGATTGATTATATAGTAAATAAAATCTGTAGGAAAATGGTCAACACACTACACACACTAACTAATAAAAACATTATAATAATATATAATAATATGATGACACTTTAGCATGTGTTTATTTTTCATATTGCCTACTATTTGCTAGTATTTAGCAAGTCAGGAACACATGAACTTAAAAAGCAAACCAAAGAATCCAAAACAGTTTACAATTATTTTAGTCTCAACTACTGTTGAATAAAACCAATAATGTTGCAATGGCTGAAGTTTTGATTTTATTATGGTTAAATTGGTACAATTGGGGTGTGCGGCCTACATTTTTTTTTTACTGTTAGCTAAAATTAAACAGTAGCAGTGGTGCCACTATTCTGTGACATCCTAGAATTCTAGATTTGAGAATCACGTTTTCCCTTTCTGGATTAGCAAAATTTGAGTTTAAATTTTTTAGGTATGCAGTTTTAAAATAAAAAGACATTTTAAACTTGAAAATTTTGGCTATCTGGAATTTGTTTTTTTTTTTTTATCAAGACTCCATAACATTTTTGCATCTTATAGCCTTTGCTGCCTTTCATGCATGCTTTATGGTATGATACCCACTACTGGCACAGCATTATTTATTGCAGCACTATGTTAATTTTCTTAGCTGACCCTAACTCTAGGGTTTCAGATTGGTAAAAAAAATTTTAAATTCAAATTATTATTATTTTGCTGTTTTATTCCTTAAGAGAGCAAACCATTAAAAATCTATACTTATGTCCAGGGCTTGATAGTTTTTTTTAATGGATTTATTGCCCCTTGATTGTGTTTCACAAAATTGAACAATATCTTTTTTTTTCTTCATATATTGTTTTTTTTTTTTTTTTTTTGTTAGATGATTAAATTAAGAGTTGTATAAATTCAAGAACAACCTTTTACTTAACACATAATGCTATTATTTTCCATAATACTATAACATTTAACTTGTGGCTAGAAATTGGTTTTTTTTTTTTTTTTCACTCTTTTAACTGCTTGTATGCTTTTGCATACATAAACATTCACTAAGCTCCTACTTATGGGAGATTTATAAAAGTTGCAACTGCTACACACACTCGAGGTTTACATGTATATGAATATAATTAAAATTAAACAAATTTCACATTTTTGTGAGTTCTTTGTTTTAGAGCTGTCCAAAATGTCAGAGTTTTTCTTTTCGTTTATAATCTAACCATTTGTTATGCACTTACAGTTACATCCAGTGTTTTTGCAATGTCTTTAATTTATAAGGTTACTAACACTAGGCTCTTTATTTTAATTTCTTTAATTTATAAGGTTACTAACACTAGGCTCTTTATTTTAATTTATACTTATAAGATTATTCATCTATTTAAAAAGAAATATACATTGGATCCCCTTTGATTTTATTTTTTTCAATAATTACTTATGTTCATCAAACTTGAATCTAGTTACATTTTCTATTAAAAGTTAATTAAAACATACTATAGTGATAATACAAACAGTTAAAATAATGGATGTGGCAGCTAAAGGATTTAAACATGTCTCTTTCTAAACTTTATTTAACAGCTGCCTGAACCTTATATTCCACTTGTTTCTAAACCTGCTTCACTAGTTGTAATGTTGCTTAGTCGTATCAGATCTGAAGGGAATTTACATAGAAGAACTAAACTGCGTAGTGTAGCATCATTTCATGGCCTGAGTCGTAGCGATTATCAAAATTTCTGTCACTGTTGCAGGCCTGAAAAATTAGGTATAGTCAGGTGAGGGTTGTTGATTCAGCGTGTTTTACAAAACAGGTTGTTTCTATTTCATAAACTTGCCTGAGGATTAAAAGACATCCACATTGAATCCTCTTACCCCATATTCCATATTTATTGATTATTATTCTTCTATGTGGATGCCTTTTTCAAATGTGCAGGAGTAAATAGGTACAGTTTGTTTTTTGTTTTACATTTTCTGTTTAAAAAGCTAATTCTAGCTTTTTAAAATATTTCAATGTTTCAACTTTTTTTTTTTGTAGCTTTGAGTTACAGTTTTGAGGCTAATAAACTATCAATATTAGAAGATTCAAAGCTTTTAAGATCTAATATGAACTGTACTTATTAGTTGGTTTGATTGTAGTGTGACATGTTTTTAAAATGTTACTTTTCAGGTTAATATTTTCTGAAAAAACATCGAGACGACTTCTTGGCTTCCTGCTTTTGAATTTATCATTTGCCTTTGTGGAGCTCTTGTATGGAATATGGACAAACAGCTTAGGTCTCATCTCTGATTCTTTTCATATGTTCTTTGACTGCACTGCATTGCTTGCTGGTTTAGTTGCATCAGTTATTTCAAGATGGAGAGCTAATGAAACCTTTTCTTATGGGTATGTAGATTCATAATTTTGTAGTTTATTTTTATGTCTGTGAAAATGATATTTTTTTAAAATGATAGACACTAGATTATGTTGTAACTGTAACGTTTTTTTTTCCAGATATGTCCGGGCTGAGATTTTAGCTGGTTTTGTCAACGGACTTTTTCTCCTATTTATAGCATTCTTCATATTCTCTGAGGCTGTGGAGGTAAGCTTTAATTTATTTATACACTTGTTCTTTCAAGATTATGAAATGATTTAGTTCCTTATTACTTGGTCTCATAATCCAGTCAATGCTCAAAAGTATATCAAATTTAGAGTGTTGTCACCCTATTAAGAATTGTAGCCACTGATGTTTATTACATAATAATCAAGAATGTTGATGTTTATTACATAAATAAAAAGTTTTCTATGCACCTTTCTGTCTAGGGATCACATATGTTATGTTTGTTTGTTATATAGTTGCAGACTGCTTCTTGGCATTGTTTCTATGGTAGCTGAGCTAAATTATTTACCAAGAGTTTAAATATCATAAACCATATGTGGTGTATCCTAGAAAGAGTATGTTAAAGCAAACAAGTTAGGCAAATTATGCATATATGGCATTGCATAATAATAAAAATCTACTTGGGAAATATTTTGGATTGTGTAACCTGATATAGAATCACGCAACCTAAGTCTGGTTAATTGGAAAACTATTTTTTAAAACTGAAATGTATTTAGATCCATATAGTATTATATTTCTTTTCCCCTGCTAGAGAGCTGTTGAACCTCCAGAAGTGAAACATGAGCGCCTTTTCCTAGTATCAGTGGGAGGCTTTATTGTTAATCTTGTTGGCATCTTTGCATTTCAACATGGGCACTCTCATGGAGGTGGAGGTAATTGTGCAATTATTTAAAATAAACACTTCATGTTATTCATACTAAAGGTTTTCCTATTTCATATCACTAGCTTCTTCAAAAGTGGTGTTTTAATAGTGTTTGCACCACACTTTTTTTTTTAGAGTTTTATTTATAATTTTAAGTTCTGTTTAATAATTTACTAGTTCACATGCCCCTTTCCTTGCCATTGATACTATTTCATTTATTTTTTCCCCCTTTAGATCACGGTCATTCACATGGATCTCATAGCCATGGATTAGGTAAGTCAAGTATAATTTGTTGAATGTATTTTGTTCAATCATTTTAAAAAATACAAATAATTTAGCAATACCTACGCTTTTTTTTACCTACGCTCAGTTTTATTTTGACATTAACTTTAACGTCTGTTATTGTATGTTTTCTGTTAAAGGCCTTGATGTTGAAGAAGATCATGGCCACAGTCATGAAAGTCATGGCCATGAGAGCCATGGTCACAGCCATGAAAGCCATGGACATAGTCATGACAGCCATGGCCACGGTGGACATGGCCACAGCCATGGGGGAGCAGCTCCAATACCAAGCAATACTGCCAAAGTTGCACAGGCACAGATAATGCAAGGTGAGTGGCATTACCCCTATTGGCACATCAAAAATCTAGTTTATTGACAACCCTAGAAAAAACATGAAAATATATACGAGAGAAATCAAAATAATACAGTATAGTATTTGATTATCATCATTTCTATAGATCGCAGCTTCCTGATATAATGAAAGTATGTCATTGCATATATCTTCAGCTTTTTAAAAATTTGGATTAGGTAGAAAATTTCAGTGGGTTTTTTTTCTTCACTTTTCAGGTGTTTTTCTCCATATTTTGGCTGACACATTGGGCAGTGTTGGTGTAATTATATCATCAGCTCTTATACATCAGTTTGGGTGGATGATTGCTGACCCAGTGTGCTCTATGTTTATAGCTGTTCTAATTGGCATGAGGTGAGTGTCACTCTGTTTACACATCTTCAGATGTGATTTCAAAGTATTACACAAAGCCGCCACCTGTAGGTGTTATTTGCCTGAATGTAGTGAAATTTTTTTTCCAGTGTGTTGCCCTTACTGCGAGACTCCATAGGTATTCTAATGCAGAGGACACCACGACCATTAGACCATGTGTTACCTAGCTGTTACCAAAGGGTATGTACATCTTACTTATCTCATTTTAAGATGCAATGGTTGCTCAATTTAACAACATACTAGTAAATTGCTATAACTTGCCATGTTGGAAAAATAGTTGGGGAATGTTGTAATGTAATCTTTCATACTCAGGTGAGCCAACTTGAAGGTGTGTATAGTGTACAGGAACCACATTTTTGGACCTTGTGCACAGATGTGTATATAGGAACAATAAAACTGGAGGTGGCCACCAATGCCGACACTAAATACATTCTTAGCCAAACACATAATATTTTTACACAGGTAAGCCGTTAAATAGCTTTAATGTTTAATTACAGAATGGAATTTTTTTTTAAAATTGATAATTAAAGTAATAATTAAATCTCCATTGTTACAGTCATTTTTATTTCTGGTGTAAGAATGTTCAATTGTTTTCTTCAGGCTGGGGTGAGGCAACTATATGTACAGATAGACCACTCTCCAATGTAGATCTGATGATTGAGGATGTTGTTTTAACTGGATTGCAAAGCTCTCAATGTTATGCTTATATTTTACATGCAGAAGTCAATAGAAAATTAAATTGATCTTAGCTACTACTTTAGTTAATAGTTTGACCTCCATCTTACTTGATTTACACATACTATTGCTAATGCCATCTGTGTAATAAATTAATCTGATTAATGCATTTGCCAATTATTGTTTTTCAATCTTCCAAATTTTACGTCCTTTAGCCTTTTAATTTTTTTTATTTAAGAAAAACTTATTGTTTTTTTTTTAGCTTAGTCATTGAAAAAAGCCATATTTTTAAATCTGTTAACATTTGTCTTAGTGTATTGTTACATGGAACTGAAAGATTACCAATTCAATTTTTACTACTTCTAAAGTGTATAGAATATTTAATTTAAAAAATACTTGCTGCATTCAGCCCATGTGGTTTTGAAAGTTTAATCATGCATTTGTTTTGTTGTTGTACTTGTTAAACATAATCAACAAGCATTTTAGTAAGGTATTTATGTGTATCATTACAACCTGATAAAGTACTTTGGAGAGTTTGGTATAGATATTTTGTTTGAAGATTTTCTATGTATATCATAGATACATGTGTGTATGTATATATATATATTTAGTTCAATAATGGTGATGGACAGGTCTTGTTATTTTTTTCTTATTGTTATCGTGTGTTTAATTTTCTCATTGTGATAAGTTAGAGAATTTAAGTGCTGTCCAATGCCTTGTGCCTTGAGATAGCTTGAACTGTACATTTTACATCTTAGAAAGCATTCGTAAATACTTCACATCAAATTAATCATCTTACACTTACAGCAATATGAAAAAGTTAAATATATTTTAAAGTTCCTTTTTATTGCACTGTTCTCATCACCTCCAAGGGTAAAGTAAAATCACATTGTTTCTTAGCAGTCTTGTGGCTCATAATGAAAATATTATTTGTTTGATAAATTATGATAACTTCAATCAAGGTGTGCTGAGCCATTGTTATTTGTTGAATATTTTGGTCTTTAAATTCATGGAAGGAATTAAATTCAAACAGTATTGTGAGATTTTAGTGATGCCAAAGCCTGTTACTTTTTACAGTATATAAAAGTATTTAATGTGTAGTCTTTTTTTCTATAAAAAAAAATATTTAAATACTAAAAAAAAGTTTTTTAGGTTGAAAACCGGTATACTTGAATTTCTTAGATTTAAACAGAAAAAAGAATTTTTAACATACTAATGCAGAACTATCTTCTGTAATTTTATCTACAAGTCCTGAAAATGTATTTACAAATGTGTAAAATAGCTATTTCAAACTGAACTGTGTATCATAGTAATTATTCACATGGTGTCATTGCATCTGTATTTTAGTTGCTTTTAACATTTGCTTTTTGTCTGAAACAATTTGTAACTTTCAACATTCATTTTAGTTTTAGCTTACTAAAAAAAATTTTTGCCCACTGTAAATATTGTATAATTATTGTGGCAATATGTTCTCATCAACTGAAATAGATTATTCTGCTTTCACCTTTTTAAAAACTATCTTATTTGTTATTGTTTCATTATCTACAGTATAGAAGCTATTCACAGCGTGAGGCTGATGTAACTTTTTAATTGAAAGCAATATTAGTTACATGAGAAAAAAGTTAATATTTCTGATAGTATTAGACTTAATTTTAGTAGAAAGTTTATTTGCTGTGATTGTGGAACTGTGTCACTGTATAACAAACGCTTATCTAAGACTAATTTGATCAAAAAAAATGCATTTATTATGTTTTAAGAAACAGGCCTTTTTTTTTTTAATTTCAGTTCCTATTTGTTGTCCTCTTCTCTTAAAGATAATCAATTAACAAGTCTAGTCATTGAACTCATATTGTTTAAAGTCTGCTACTGTTTGTCTTGTGTTATCTGTTAATACATTTTGTACACATTAGTAGATTTACATTTATGAACATTAAAAACAAGTATTTAATTTAAAAGCTGACTAATGTAATATTGGAATACACCAGGTGCAGACTATTATGTTTTATGTAGTGGACGTTAATTATGCTGATTTTTTATCATTTGTAGGATTGATAAGTTGGTAACTTAATTAAATATTTAAATTATTTTAATCGTTAAAAATGAGACCAATTTGCACAATATTTTAAAAAACTTTTTCAACAAATAAAAATACCATTACACTTGCAATGTTTTAGCATTTTTCTGTGTGTAAATTTGAGAATTATTTAAAATGAGTTAATAAAAACCAAGTTATTTCTATAAATAAATTGACCAATTAAACTGTCAACAGTTTTTAAATGTAAAGATTTAAAATCTGTTACAGTGTTATCATTACGTTTACTTTATTCTATTTGACATCATCTAGGCTCTAAACATGGTAGAACTGATATAAATCAAGTATTTATTTTTTAAAATTTCATATTGAAAGTGCTTCCTGTTGATCACATATACTGCTCGTGTAAATACTAAATGTGGTTAATACCAGTATTTATTCTTTTGTAGAAAATAATATTCAATTTATTGGTACTTACTAGATTCAATAGAATTACCATCTAGAAGAGTTATGTTAAAAATATGAGAATGAATTTTGATTTCAGTGTTTGAACAGGCTGTATTTAGCAGTTGTTGTTTTTAAATGGGTATAGAGAATTATGTTGACCATATGATTTTTTTCTTCAGTTCATAGAAGGAATAAATGTTTATTAAGCTATACAAAGCCACTTAGAATTTATTCATGCAGTAGCTAAATATTGAACAAAATCAGTTGTTTTCTAATGTGTACATTCCATGACAAAACAATTATGATAATCATTCTGGTGTTGGTATTTTATTCAATTTTTAAATTTTCACATAAACTTATTTCTGTTTCATTTGTAAATTGATACTCTAATTTCGGTTTTTGTTTGTTATTTCTTTTTTGGTACTGTTTTTCCCTTAAAAACCACCTTAAAATTTGGTTGTTTTTTTTTTAAATGTTATTTCACTCACTATCATCTTAGAATTGTCTTGTTTTCAAATACTGTATAACTACCAGTTATAAATTTTTTAATGGTACCATCATGTATTCGAAGAGTATTCAGAAAAATCTTGTGCTTAACACCAGCTAATTTATCTTGTGGTCTTTGTTTTGATGCTAAACAACATTGCAAATAAATGTAAACCTGATCAGCAACATCTAACTGGACTTGTTTTTTTTTTTTTTTAAGAACCCTTAATAATTGATTTTTTGAAACTACAGCTTGTAATGTCTTAAGTCTACTATTTATTATTTAACTACAGAAACATTTTTATTACTATCTTGGGGGGGGGGGGGGGGGTGTAAATTTTTGCCTGAGATTTATTTCTATGCAGTGCTTCACTATATAGGCATCAATTGTATTAGTTAAATAATGTTAAATCTTGAGCAGATGCAATCGAAATCACTTTTTTTGTTTATATAAGAATTTATATGTGCAGGTTCCATGTAATTTATTTAGGGAATCCAATTTCCTTTTTTTTTTACTTTCAGGAAAATGTTCCACAAAAGTTATGATGGAAATTTTTGTTTAAATATTTCCATTTAAGAGTAGTGGAAAATAGCCTTGACTTGTTAGATTCATCGCTGTGTAGGGTATATGTTAGTAATCAAAATTTTACCATTTTAAGGTCTAATTCCCAATGTTAGCTATCAAATATATAAAGCTTTATTTATGAAAGTAGTGCTTGTAGTAAAAGAGATTAACAGGCTTGAGGTAATAGATCAGATATTAATTCGACAGATTTTTTCTCAACACTCACAAGGGCTATAACTATAACCAAAGACTGAATGTCTGTATTTAATCGGCATGACTATGTAGATTATCAAGAATAGTTGACACCATCTAATGACAGGGTGGTGACATTAAAGCAGAGTTTCTTTCAAGCATCTCTTCCGGAGGGGAGGGGGGGGGGGGTCTACTGCCCGCCCCACCCCCGAACGAAATGGAATTTATATAGACAATATAGACTTTTTAACAGTTCCCCCCCCCCCCCCCGATAAAAAAAAGTCTGGAAGAAACACTGCATTAGAGTGTTAAAAACATTTGCAATTAACTGAACATTATTTGTTGTTTTTAAACCAGGGGTCTCCAAACTTTTCAGTCCGAGGGCCGCATTAACTATCAAATTTCAGTTCGGGGGCCATTTTCTTCCTGTCATGTCTTTGATTTTCCTGGGCAAAGTTCCTCAGACATCACCAACAAAATATTTTTCCTTGGACAAAAAGATCTCCGCGGGCCGGATGAGATGACTTCGAGGGCCGTACCCGGCCCGCGAGCCGTAGTTTGGAGACCCCTGTTTTAAACAATGCTCTAGAACAGGGGTCTCCAAACTTTTCAGCCCGAGGGGCCGCATTATCTATCAAATATAAGTTCGGGGGCCTAGTTTCTTCCAGGCATCTCATCGGGGTGGCGGAGACCCCTCCACCCGAGAAAAAAGTCTGAAAGAAACACTGTCGGGGACCGACAACACACTCAAGGTCCAAGTTTGTTCTCAAATTATTTCTCACGTCGGCCTACTTCATTTTGATAAAGTTGGTTTGTTCCGAAATTTTAAAGTTACTTTGATGCAAAAGTTCTAATATTAGGAAAGTCTTCGTTGGGCAAATACCTATAAAACCCACCCGCCCTTATTTAAACATGTCTTTAAGTTTAAGGTGGTCATTTGCTTGGCATTGGCCACAATTACTTCAATGGTATTTGCACCCAATGCTACATTTTCAGTTTGTTTTGAACTTTTTTTTTTCCGCGGACAAAAAGATCTCCAAGGGCCAGAAGAGTGGACTTCACGGGCCGCATCCGGCCCGCGGGCCGTAGTTTGGAGACCCCTGCTCTAGAATACCAAAATAGAAACTTTACAATTTTTACATTATGGAGCAAAGTCTGGTCCCGTTGGTTTGATAAAGATGATCAATTTTCACTGGTTATTCCTACTGATTACATTTTATCAGATAACATCATCTTGATAAATTATGTGATTATGGTATCACAAAAATCTTACTATTTTAGCATTTTCTAGGAATATGAAACTGTAATCTTATAAAACTGTGATAGATAGATAGATAGATAGATAGATAGATAGATAGATAGATAGATAGATAGATAGATAGATAGATAGATAGATAGATAGATAGATAGATAGATAGATAGATAGATAGATAGATAGATAGATAGATAGATAGATAGATAGATAGATAGATAGATAGATAGATAGATAGATAGATAGATACATAGATACAATAGATACATAGATACATAGATACATAGATACATAGATACATAGATACATAGATACATAGATAGATACATAGATAGGTAGATAGGTAGTCAGAGTTTCTTCCAGACATCTTCCGAATTTTTTTACCGCCCCCCCCCCCCGAACGAAATGAAATTCATATAATTTATATATAAAATATATACTTTTAACAGTGTGGTCCCCCCCCCCCGAAGAAAGTCTACCGCCCCCCCCCCCCGAAAATTTCAAGTGCCCCCCCCCCCCCGGAGAAAAAAGTCTGGAAGAAAACACTGTAGGTAGATAGATTAGATAGATATAGGCCACAGAATTTTTTCCAGACTTTTTTTCTCGGGGGGGGGGGGCACTTGGAATTTTCAGGGGGGGGGCGTCACTGCTAAAAGTATGTTTTCTATATAAATTCCATTTCGTTAGGGGGGGCGGTAGACTTTCTAGTGATGCCTGAAAGAAACTCTGATACAGTGGCGTAGCGAGGT